GAAAGAATGTAATGGAGGTAGAGGAAAGAGGATCTGGAGTCCAGTTGGCTTGAGGGCTGATAGAGAAGAGTGAGTCGTGGATGATGTACATTTCCTCTCTCAGGAAGCTAGAGAGATGGGGTCATTCGCCAAGAAAGGAAATATGGGAGAGAAGGAAGAGCATGCCATTGAGTTGTACTTTGTGTCTGGCGATAGGAGATGACAGAGACAGACAAAGTGGAGACATCCGGTCTAGGCATGTAGGGACATAGGTATGGAGTGAAGAGAGAAGCCTGGGTTAAAGAGGCAAATTTGGAAATCATGACCTTATTGGTGGTAACTGAAGACATTTTTTCTTTCTTTCTTTCCACGCTTCTCACCCAAGGAGAAGCGTGGAAAGAAAGAAAGAAAAAATCCAGAAAGAATCTGATACTGTCAGGGGCCATTGACCTACCAAAGTGCAAGGTTACCTCAAGACCACTGTGAGGAGAATGAGTCACAGGAAATTGAAACCAGCAAGGGTCTGGGTGTATTGAACAAACGAGGGCTAGAGTCACGGGGGAAACTGAAGGAATGAGAAGTCTGAGTAATAAACTCTAGGAATCTGGGGAAGGTACAAGATACTAGGTGTGTATTCTGCCCTGTTGATCCTTCCCCATCCCTCTCTTGTAGATGAGCTACCCAAGACAGAGGGTCTGGGGGCCAGCGAGGCAGCTGAAAGGCTGGGCCAGGGTTGTATGTGGGACGTGGCTGGAGAAGACGGCCATCGCTGGAGGGTTTTCCGGACAGGCCAGAGGGAGCAGCGAGTGGACATGACTGTCATTGAGCCCTATAAGAAAGTCCTGTCTCATGGAGGTAATGGCTAGCGTTAAGTGGAGGGGTGAGAACGGTGACTTCTAGAATAAAATGCCTAAACTGGACCCTTGTTATTGGGTTATCAGTCCTCAGAGTCCCTCAACCTAACCATGTCTGTCAATTTTCAATTTTCCCATATCCTCCCCAGGTTACCATGGCGAGGGCCTCAATGCTGTCATCCTCTTTGCTTCCTGTTACCTACCCAGAAGCAGCATTCCCAACTATACCTATGTCATGGAACACTTATTCAGGTGAGATGGAAGGCCTGAAGGGCTTCAGGGTGGAGGATAGGGAGGGAAAAGTAAGAAAGAAACCCCTTCTTGCTTGATCAGTAGCTGATTGTAGAGTCTACAGTAACGTCCCTCTCATTTCCCACAACCCAAAACATATACCTTTCCTGCCACTGTGTCCCTCCAGGTATATGGTGGGAACTCTGGAGCTGCTGGTCGCTGACAATTACCTGCTTGTTCATTTGAATGGAGGCACAAGCAGGGCTCAGGTCCCACCTCTGAGCTGGATACGCCAGTGCTACCGGACTCTGGATCGGCGGTGAGCCTCAGGAACGGGGTTCTGAGCCTATCTTACCTTCTTTCGTTTTATTTTTGTTTTGTTAATCCTCACCCTTCCCCGTCTTTCCATTCTTCCTACTTCCATTTAGTTCTCCCTTTTTTGTCCCTCTACACCCTTTTCCAAGCCTGTCTGTCTTCTGTTCTCTCTTGGGATCAGAAATGAAGTTTTATTTTATTTATTTGTTTGTTTGTTTGTTTTTAATGTGTTTTATTGATTTTTTACAGAGGAAGAGAGAGGGATAGAGAGTTAGAAACATCAATGAGAGAGAATCATCGATCAGCTGCCTCTTGCACACCCCCTACTGGGGATGTGCCCGCAACCAAGGTACATGCCCTTGACCAAAATCAAACCTGGGACCTTTCAGTCTGCAGGCCGACGCTCTATCCACTGAGCCAAACTGGTTTCCGAAGAAATTAACTTTTAAATTTTGCCTTTGCCAATCAGCTATGTGACTTTGGATTTGTGTGTGCTGGGGTGGTGGTACAGGGGGATTATTTGTTTGTTTGTTTTTATCAGCTCTATGGCTTTGAACAAGTCACTTAACCTTTCTGGGACTCAGTTTCTTTATTTGCAACGTGACAAAATACCTTTGCTGCTGGGTATTTGTGAAAATCAAGTAAATCAGAGTGGCATATTGCCTGGCATTTAGGCACCCTTCCATTTATTTCACTTTCCAATCCATTATCTTCTTCTGCCATCCTCCCTGTCAGATCTTTTCCCCTCCTTTGTTTCTCTCTTTTCCCCCATCTTCCATTGGCTCATCTGTCTCTTTCTTCTTCCCTCTTCTTTATTTTCTCCGCACTGGCCTCTTCCACTGGGAGTTTCATAAATAGGCCTGGTCATGGAGGGATGGGGAAGGGTACCACAGTGACTTAGATGAGAGTAGGACACGGGAAGGAAATAGGGTATCAAAGATCAAGCTGAGGGATTCTGAGAAGAGAATTTCCTAAGTATGAGGAGTATGGAGGGTTGAATGAGATGGCTGGCACTGAGATTGTAATGAAAAGAATGGCGGTTAGGCCCAGTTGCCAGAAAAATCTAGAAATTAGAGAAGGGAAGGAAGTTAAAGAATATAGCTTCAGCCGAAACCAGTTTGGCTCAGTGACTAGAACGTCGGTCTGTGGACTGAAAGGTCCCAGGTTCGATTCCGGTCAAGGCATGTACATATATATTTATAAAGAATATAGCTCCACCTGATCTTCAGGTATAAAGATGGAAGAATAATTAGGGTGATCTCCTATTCTTCTTCAGGCTAAGGAAAAACCTGCGTGCCCTGGTGGTTGTCCACGCTACGTGGTATATGAAGGCATTCCTGGCACTGCTCCGGCCCTTCATCAGGTATGAGCTGGAGACAAGGGTCCCTACCTTCCCCTTCTTCCTATTATTTTAAATGAGCTTATTTGAGCCAAATTGATAACATAAGCCCTAGAACAAGATCTCAGATGCTCCCCACTTCTTCCCATTTTCAAAATCAAGAACTTGCCCCATCTTGACTCTTTCTAGTCTTTTAACCACTCTCTACCTGTTCCATTTCCCATTTGTAAGCGTCTCCAGGAACCCTCTTCCCAGTGTACAACACAAATGGTTTATTCCCTCTTTTCAGTTCCAAGTTCACACGAAAAATCCGTTTTCTGAACAGCCTGGGAGAACTGGGCCAACTCATCTCCTTGGATCAGGTCCACATCCCAGAAGCTGTCAGACGGTGAGTACAGAGCTTAAGGATCGTGGTTTGGGGTGAGATGTGTAAAGCCAGTATCCATTTTCTTTTTCTTTTTTTCCTTCTTTTTAAAAAATACATATTTTTATTGATTTCAGAGAGGAAGGGAGAGAGAGAGATAGAAACATCAATGATGAGAGAGAATCATTGATCTGCTGCCTTCTGCACGCCCCCAACTGGGGATCGAGCTCACAACCCAGGCATGTGCCCTTGACCGGAATGGAACCTGGGACCCTTCAATCCGCAGTCTGATGTTCTATCCACTGAGCCAAACCAGCTAGGGCCAGTATCCATTTTCTTAATGCCTTGGGAGAAACACAAAGGAACTAAAAACCTGAGGTCCTGTTTTCAGATGTTTCGAAGTACCTGGGAAAGTGTGCACATATCAGAGAAAAAATTAAGGACACTGCTGTACCCAACAAAAACAAATAAAAAGCTGTACATATAAGTGCTGAGGCAACAAGGAATAAAGGAGTAATCACAGCACAGAATTTAGAGGAGATTCAGAAATCAGAAAGGGATGCTTGTTGGCAGTACATTGGAGAGACTATCCCGTTGGGGAGGGGTGCTAGGGAGCAAAGGAATCCTAACCAATGACCAACTCAAGCATCACCAGTCTTCACCTGGCTTTTCTCCCCAAACCAGTGAGTAAAACACAGGTCCTGCCCTGGCCTGGTGACTTAGTTGTTTGGAGCATCATTCTGTACACCAAAGGGTTGTGGGTTTGTTCCTGGTCAGGGCACATACCTAGGTTGCAGGTTTGATCCCTGGTCAGGGTGTATGCGGTAGGCAGTTGATCGATGTTTTTCTCTCTCTCTCCCTCCCCCCCCTTCTCTCCCTCCCACTCTCTCTAAAAAATCAATTATCCTATATAATAAAGAGCTAATATAATAACTAGACCAGATGGTGGAATGACCTTCTGAACGACCAATTGGGGGTGGGGGGGCTGCAAGGCCACTGAGGCAGCCGGTGCCACGAGGGTTAAGCCTCTTGCATGCACGAATTTTGTGCATTGAGCCTCTAGTGTGTGTGTGTCACATACAGGTCCTGTTCCTGTACTACTTATTCTTCTCTCTCCTAGGCTGGACCAGGATCTCCATGACTCTGGAAGGACCTAGCGTGGACTGGACTAAAGGGCCTTAGAACCAAGCAAAGATAACTGTCTGCCTACACCTTTACCCCTGAACTATCTAAGCTGTTTTGTAAATCATCTCCTCGTCAACCCCAGGACCACTGCATCTTGACATCCCAGCGCGCCCTTCCTCCCCAGACCTTGCCTTTGAAGCTGAGCTTTGAGGTCTGGAACCTCATCTTGCTGGTGGCTTGCGTTTCAGCCAGCAGTCGGTATTTTGTATGGGCGAGTGCAAAGCTGCAGGTCCTTGTCCTGCTTTAGCCATAGAACCTGGGGCAGTCACTTCCTCTCCGTGAGTCATTTGCATCCTCTTCAAGGAAGGGGCTGAGATCTCTCTCTCCGCCTGGGGCATTGGCATTCCCGCAGGCCCCCTGCCGATGGGGGGCCATGGGAAGAGCAGGGCTTCCCTGAGCACAGCCAGCCTGCCTGTGGGAGCCAGGAGGGAGTTCACGGCTCCCCTTCCCCCCGCCCACCCCCAAAAGCTTGGAGAACCGCTATCGGCCCCTCATTCCTTCTTAGCCATTGTCTGCTGCCTGGGAGCCTGGAAAGGAGTGCTTTCCAAACCTTTCTTGAGTCAATTCCGATGTGTAGTGGTTAATAAATTGCGAGAGATTGGAGGCGTGTGCCAACCAAGTGACCTGCTCTTTCCCCGGCCCCTGACATCACAATCCATCAGTGCCCAGAGTTCTTGCTGTGGGGTTCCCTAGGATTTCCAGCTCAGCCCCTTGGGGGGAGGGCCCCGGGGGAGGGGCGTGGCTTGCGCATCAAAGCCCCCTCCTCGGGCCTCGATTCTAGATTCTAACGACCTGGCGGGTCGGTGAGAGCGGAAGGGAAGGGAAGGGAGGGAGCGAGAGTAGGAGCCCGGCCCGGCCTCGGTCCCTGGCCTCCCTCCCAGCCCCACACCCACCGTCCAGCCCCATGGTCCCCGCGCTGCTCTGGGCCCTGCTGCTGCTGAGCCTGGGGACCGAGGCGGTGGTGGCGGGGGCCCAAGGCCCGACTGCAGCCGGGAGGCAGCCGGCCCGGCTCCGCTCCCGGGGCCCGCCGACCCGCAACTACCGGCCCACGCCCCGCACCGGCGGCGGCCCCCCGAAGCGAAGGGTGATAATGGAGGATGAAGACGACGAATCGGCCACCGCCGACCGCCTGGCAGGCCCCGCCGTGGACGAGCTCTTGGCCTCCACGGTGTCCACGGACATGAACAGGTTGCGATCCTGGGAGCAAGATCAGGACGGGTCCCTGGAGGAGGGGGTCGTGATCAACGCCCAGAAGAACAACAGCGAGGCGGGGCTTGAGGGCAGGCCTTCCACGACCACGAGGAGGTTCAGCTCGAGGTTTGCAGCGAACATTCAGGAGCCGGAGTACAGGCTGGCCACCAGCCTGCCGCCCGAAGACTGGAACACGGAGCACCGGGCGCTGTACGACACCAGCCTGGCCGGCTGGTCCACCGCGGGGTCCACCCCCAGGCGCTGGTCCCGCGTCCCACTCACCTCCGCGCCCCCTCCCGAGGAGCTGCGGCTGGTGCTGATGCCCTGGGGCCCGTGGCACTGCCACTGCCAGTCGGGCACCATGAGCAGGACCCGGGCCGGGAGGCTGCAGGGCCTTTCTGGGCGCCTTCGAGTCGGGGCCCTGAGCCAGCTCCGCACAGAGCACCGGCCTTGCACCTACCGTCAATGCCGCTGCGATCGACGCCTGGAGGAGTGCCCCCTGGACTCGGCCCTCTGGCCTGAGACTCAGACTACCACCACCACCACCACCCCCACCACCACCACCACCACCCCCGCCCCCGCCCCCATCCTCACCGCCACCACCACCACCACCACCTCCTCTAGGCCCATGTTCAGCCATAGCACCAGATACAGCTTCAGCCCCGGCCCCAGCCCCAGCCCAGCGCTTCTGTTTTGGAGGCATGTCAGGGCCGGGCTGGAGGATATTTGGAACAGCCTCTCCTCAGTGTTCATAAGGATGCAACCAGTAAGTGTCTGGTGATGAGCCAGGATCTTGGTGGATAGCTCTGCAAAGTTCTGAACCAGCCCGTGTGCTTGCATGAACTGTTCCTTACTTGTCTGCTTACTGGTTCTTAGTATGCATTGGTTTATTCACATTATTGTTGGCCATGAATTCCACCTGCTACATCTTTTTTCTTTTTAAAAAATATTTTTATTGATTTCTTACGGACAGGGAGAGAGAGAAAGAGAAACATTGATGAGAGAGAATCATCAGCTGCCTCTTGCACACCCCCCTGCAACCAAGGTACACGCCCTTGACCAGAATGGAACCTGGGACCTTTCAGTCCGCAGGCTGACGCTCTGTCCACTGAGCCAAACCGGTTTTGGCCCACCTGTTGCCTAACTGGTTGATCATTAGGCAACATGTATTATTGGCTACTAGATGATAATTGACCAAATTGTTAAGATTGTAGATTGTAAAGAATTCTTGATGCTGATAATTAATAGAAGATAATTAAGTTTTCAGCTTATTAATGCAGTTTAACAGTAACAAGCCAACATTTGAGGTCTTGCTAGATGCACTTTACCTGGGTCAATCCTATGAGGTATTGTTATCCCCACTTTACAATGGAAGAAATGAAGGTTTATTAAGCTAGTAAGTGGCAGTCACAGTAGAATTTTTTACTTGTTTCTTTTTTTTTTTTTTTAATATATTTTATTGATTTTGTACAGAGAGGAAGGGAGAGAGAGAGAGAGTTAGAAACATTGATGAGAGAGAGTCATCAATCAGCTGCCTCTTGCACACCCCCCACCGGGGACATGCCCGCAACCAAGGCACATGCCCTTGACCGGAATCGAACCCGGGACCTTTCAGTCCCCAAACCGACGCTCTATCCATTGAGCCAAACCGGTCCCGGTACAGAATTTTTTAAAAATATATATTTTATTGATTTTTTTACAGAGAGGAAAGGAGGATGAGAGAAACATTGATTCAGCTGCCTCTTGCACACTCCCTGCTGGGGATGTGCCCGCAACCAAGGCACATGCCCTGACCTGAATCGAACCTGGGACCCTTCAGTCCACAGGCTGATGCTCTATCCTGAGCCAAAAATTAGGGCCATGGTCATCAAACTGCGGCTCACGAGCCACATGCAGCTCTTTGGCCTCTTGAGTATGACTCTTCCACAAAATACCACGGCCTGGGTGAGTCTATTTTGAAGAAGTAGCATTAGAAGATTTTTTAAAATTTGGCTCTCAAAAGAAATTTCAATCGTTGTACTGTTGATATTTGGCTTTGTTGACTAATGAGTCAGCTGACCACTGGATTAGGGCAAGAGTAGAATTTAAACCAGGTTTGACACTAGTGTCGATGCACTTAACCATCACTATCCGCAAGAATTGTTCTGGTAGAATTTTCAAGGAAGGACAGTCCTCTGCTTTACCAAAAGAACTACCAAGAGCTCTGATTGACCTGCTAAAATATTTTCAATGGATAGAATGACAGGCCCTTTGGGAAAAGAGGAAGGAAAATAAAATGTATGCATGGTCATTTTAATGGTTTTTGTGTTTCTCCTATGTGTCCAAAGCCATCATTCAATATAAAAAGGCATCATCAATAGGGGGCAGTAGTGTCAAGGGAGTGAGGGTTTGTGGGCAGCGGGAGAACAAGAAAAAACGAAATAGGTGTCATTATAATATTCCCCCTTTTCTCTATTTTGTTTCCTTACCCAGATAGACAGAAACCGGAGGTTAATGGCCACTTGATCTGCAAGAAGAGGTGTCAGCATCTCAACCTCTCCTCCCCTTCCAATCCCAGCACCCACTGGGTATTTTTAGTACAAAAAAAAAACAAAACTAGAAGAAAAAAAACAACCATTGTTTGATCTTGTGTCTTTTTATAGAGGTATGAGAGACCAAAAATTTTGTGAAACTGAACTGGGTAGCTACCAGCATCTGGCTTGGGCTTCTCCTGTCCCCAGGATAAAATGTTTGTTGTTCATCTTCCTTATTTCCAATGTTGTTGTTTTTTTTAAACAAGTACTTCTTTTTTAAAAAAAATCTCAGATGAATGCCAAGCAGGAGTTGAGCCCTTAGATCATGGTCATCTTGCCTTCACAATACTTAGCCTTCTTTTCCCCTCAAAAAGGACAAATGGTACAAAATCCCACATTAGCCACTTTCTAGGAGTTACCCTTCATCAGCCATGCCTATTGTTTAATCCAATATACACCTGGAGTGATTACTCTGTGACTATTTTGCTTAAACTTTTTATTTGAAAAGTATATTTAGAGTCCAACACACTCTCAATATAAATTATGACTCTCAAACCCATTCCCATCACTCTAAATATCGTTAAAGTGATGGTAGCACACACATAAGAGAAGGTAGCTGAGAGAGAGAACCAAAGAAAAGATTGTGTCCAAAGAACTGGCATAAGAATAAGGCTAAAGATCAGGGAGACCAGATCCCAGGAGCCCCCCCCTCTTTCTACCCTCTCCTGTCAACCCTTTCGATCTAGTAAAACCCTCATGCTATGCTGGGCAACAAGATGAACTACTTTCAGAGCGTCGCTTGACTGGAACAGAGTACATTTGGAATGTTATCTCTACGAGCAATCTTTGACCTTGGAAAAATTTAAAAAATACACTGAAACTTGAAAAAATGAGAGCCTCGGTCACTGTAGGTGGGGGCAAACTTCAAGATGGCGGAATCGGCAGAGTGGATCCCCACTCCCATATTCCTGATCCCCCACCACCACTGCCACCATGCTTCCTGTTACTGAGCTGAGACCCCTGCGTTCTGGACACAGAGCAGGCAGGAGCTGCTCTGTCCTGTTCTGCCTTCCTAGTCTCCCTGCAAAAAAGGGGGCAGAACAAAGCACACCTGAGAAAACGGAAAGTGCCTGAAGACCCTGCTCCTCCGTTCCTTTCCCACCTAACACAGACTCTTGGGCCAGGTGGAGAGTTCTTCAGACAAAGCTCCCTGAGTCTTATTTGTGCCTGGTTCCGGGACTAGGGCACAGAAATAGAGCTTCAAGTTCGGGGAGAACAGTGCTGGGGTGTCTGGCTCTACTGCTTTTCTCTGCCTCCCCCCATCCCACCACTGCAGGAGCCCCTCCTCCACTGAGCAAGGAGGGAGAAACACGCCTATCACAAGCATCACAATGAATAAAAAATTGTTTGAGATTACTAAGCCTACTTTACAGGGGGTCTAGCTCATCAAGGCTCAGGCTTAGGATGAATGATGGGATGGGGGAGTGGCAGGGATAAAAATCACGAGAAAAATATGTGGATTCTAGACCACTGGCTCTCAGTTGGGGTGCTTTTGCCCCCAGGGAGGCACTTGGCAATGTCTGGAGACAGTTCTGGTTGTGATAACTAGGGTGGGCCAGGGACACTGCTATACACCCTATAATGCACAGGACAGTGCCCCAGGACTAAGAATTATCCAGCCCAAAATGTGAGGATTGCAAGATTCCTAAACTCCCAGATGATCGTTTTCAACCAATTTAACACCCCACCTCCCCTCCTCCATGGCCAGGAAGGAAGTCCACTTTGAGACAGAACTCCTAGTTTCCCTGCAATCCGGATTTCTCTCCAGCTCCCCCTTCCTCCTCTACCTGGGCCAGCAGGGAGGTGGGCAGAGGGCAGGCCAGGTCCCCAAGACCTAACTGGAATGTCATCAGGTTGAGACCCATCTCTTAAGTCTTATTCAATGGGAAACAATAAGGTTCCTAACAGGAAGGAGGGTAAGGACGGAGGTAGTAGCAGGGTGGGGGTAATTAAGAGAATGCATCTTAAATTTACTTTTTAATTAATTTTTAAAAAGGAAAGATACTGGGGGGCTAGCAATGCTACAGAAACAGGGTTAGAGCCTACCTAGAGAAAGACGCTGGTGTTGGCAGAGAGCCACTGAAGAGCTGTGAGCTTAAGGTCTGAGATTTAAAGAGAGTAGACTAGGCAGTGGTCACCCTCCCAGGCCCTGCTTGAGGTCTGCTTCAGTTCATTCCAGAAGGAAGGAGAAGGGCAGAGAGGTAGGGAGCTTCTCAGCAAAGCCAGCTTCAGCTTGGTAACCTCACCCACCTGCCACTTAAGGGCAACAAGGTTAATAGTTTAAAAACAGGTGGCACCCAGACTGTCATTCAGGAGAAGGGAACTCATTCCTGGTTTCCAGAAACTCCTATTTCAGATCTGAGAGTGTCCGGGGCTTCAGCTGAGCTCCTCTGGCCAACCGGTAGTTACTTGGTCAGTCCTGCTGCCTTGACCCCGTCTCCAGGAGGGGCTACAGCCAGAGGAAGCAGAGGGAGTCCAGCCCCCAAGCCTTTTGAGGCACTATCAGGCAGATAGGGAAGAAGGGGCCTTGAGGACTCTGGTTCTCGGAGGATCTGGTGGAGGCAGCATCTCTTCTGGGCTGGGCACAGAGTGGAGACTTCAGACAGCAAAAACTGATTTGAAAAAAAAAAAAGAAAAAGAAAAAAATTAGTCTCAAAGAAAACCCAGGTCTCAGGGAGAAAGGCACCACCTGGTGCAGACCATTTCCATCGGGCGCTCTTTTCTCTATTCCTGTCCGCACATCCCTTTCTCTCAGCTTTTCTGGATCCCACATTACTACGGTAACTCTCCTGGTCTAATTCTTCCTCCCCTTGCTTCCCTTCCTTGCAGAAGATCGGGGTTCAAGGCAGAGCCTCAGCAGGTGTTGGAGGTGTTCTCTAGTGACTCACCATTCCTGTGGGGGCTACAAGCCCCTAGAATTGCTCCATGGCCTGTCTCGGTTTCCCTTGGACCTCATCTGCTCCTGAACAGCACCTGTCTGTGGAAAAGCACACGTGACACCCTCCTGAGTCTTCGCGTCGACATCACAGGAAGAAATCGCCCCCATGCCCTTCATGGACGAGGTTGACCCCAACTTCCTGAAGATAAAATCATCTGGAAAGGTAAAAATTAATCTCCATTCTTCCAAGGGAGGTTCCCATGCCTCCCTTCACACTGACCTTTGTGAGGATGAGATATAAATTAGTCTTTTACACCTTGGCTGGTGTGGCTCAGTTGGTTGGAGCATGGTTCCATACACCGAAAGGTCACGAGTTCGATTCCCAGTCAGAGCACATACTCACGTTGTGGGTTGATTCCCCCATTGGGGCATGTGCAGGAAGCAACCAATCGATATTTCACTCTCACATCAATGTTCCTCACCCTTCCTCTCTCTCTAAAATTAATAAAAACATGTCCTTGTGTGAGGAATAAAAAAAAAAAAAATTATTCTTTTGCTAAAAAGATCCTCCCACAAAAAACCCTATCATAGTTATCTAAGCTTTGCAATTGGTGAAAAGATTCCTTCACTAACTCCATCCCCATTTCTCTTATTTTGAGAGCAAAATACATGTTAGATGTTATTTGGCCTTTTTCCTGCCCCATCACTCCCACCCACAATGTGACTTACTATAGCGCTGAGACAACAGATCTCAATGAACAGAAGGAAGGGATACAGTTTTTGGAAAAAGCCATCCATGTAACTCTTAAAAGACATATACATCTTCCACCCTAATTAACAACCATCTGTCATCGATAAAGGCCAGAGACCTGAAACGCCAAGGCCCCAGGCTTAGGCAACTGGTGGCCAGATCTGGAACCCTCGCTTTTTACTTCCCCATCAAGGATTCGGTTATGACCCCGGCTCGAACTTTCAAAGAGGAACGGTTCCAGGCCACAACCCCATCGCAAACATCCCCTGATTACCATGGCCAGTCCATCGCCGGCCCCCATCTCGCCGGAGCCGATGTGCGTCAGGTGGACAAAATTCATCGGCTCCCCAATCATGGTCCGGTCGATCCGTCTCCTCTTCTTCTTCTGCTTGGAGAAAAGAGGGGCGTTATGTCAGGAAGGCCCTCCTGCAGGCACAGCGGAGGAAGGAAAAAAAGAGGCTTGAAAACCACTGAGGGAAGAGCGAAGGCCCGGTAGGAAAGGGCATGTGGCGTTGTGATAGGGAAATAAATCACTAGGGAATGAAAGGCAAGGCTGGAACAACACAGAGAGGACACAGGCAGGGGGGGGAGGGCAGTGGCCTGCAGAGTGAGTGTGGACAAAGAAGGACACGCCAAAGTCACCCCTGGCTGATGAGGAAACAATGGGGAAAACTGACAGGTAGTAAGCTCCACCTACACCCCCCACCCACCTCACAAGGGACAGGAACAGGAAGTGGTAGCTAGGCCTCTTCACTTCTCCCATCACCCAGCCAGTCCCCTTCATTTTGGTGGATACCTGCCTCACCACGGAACCGACCCTGACGGAGAGGGAGGCTAGAGTGTGCTTTGTAGACAGCCAGCGGGTCCTACATGGTGTGCCTGCGCCTCAGGACACGGTAACGGATTTCTGTACGGGGTGGGGTGGGGGTGGGGAGACTCACCGGCTGGGGTTTCTCTACCACACAGCAGCCCAGTTTGTGCCAGAATTCACTCATGTTCCCCGCTGGTTCCAGTTTCCCTCCGAGGCCCGAGGCCCCACAGGGCTCTTGCTCTGGAGCCTGGACCGCCCACTCCTCACTCCCTGCAACCAGGGTTCACTCAGCACCACGGGGCTGGAGGGAGGAGAGTCCTCGGACCCTCAGCTGGGCAGTAAGGCCGGCGTCTCAGACCCTGAGAAAGCAGCAGGGCCAGGGGGTGAGCTGGGCGGGCAGGCACGCGCTTCTCTTCCTCGGGCTTGGAATCCTGGAGGAGCAGGAAGGGGAGAGAGAAGAAGGTTAATGAGGAACCCCTCCCGCCTTGAGAAGCCCCCTAAGAGCTCAGATCCGTGTTCTCCCTCAAAAGCCCTAGTCCTGTACCCAACACTAACCTCCTCACAGAGACTCTCAAAGGACCCCTAGGGATTAAGAAGTAGCAGCAGCTGATACAAGGGAGAGAGGAAGGGGCTGGAAGCACCTGGGCGGAGAGGGTGGGAGGGGACCAAAGCATCCTGGCACAAATGAGCAAACTTGGGGGGAGGGGTACCACAAGCTCTACCTCCTGTCTCCCTGGGTACAGGCAGAAGGGGAGGGGCGTAAAGTGACTTTGAAGAGGAAATGGTGGTTTTTTGTTCTCACAAACAAGGCCTCCACCCCTGTCCCTCCCTTTTTCCTTACCTTACCCCGTCACCTCAATTTCCCCTAAGACCTTGACCACCTCAGTCCTAGGTAACTAAGCACAGCAGGCTGGTCCTCAAGGAAGACCTTCCACAGGGAGAAATGTCTCCCCTCTCTTTCTAGTCCCGCCCTGGTTCCTCCTCATTTCCCTCCACTGAGATCCAAACCCTCCCCCCAAAGACACTGAACGGTTCCTTTGTGACTTGACCTTGAGATCTCTCCTCAAGGCTGCACTCTCTCTCTCTCTCTCTCTCTCTCTCTCTCTCTCTCTGTTTTCCTGTAATACAGGGCACTCCTGTATGTTCACCGCTGTTTGCACGTTATGTGACATGGCCGTGTCTCCATGTGTGTCTTGTGCACAGGTTGCAGGCCAGGAGAAATCTCTTTCCAGCCTCCCCTCCCTCTTCACACGTCTGATCCTGCCTCTCTCGCTCCCTGTCTCCTCCCCTCATGCTGTGACCTGTTCTCTCCTCCCTCCTCACCACTTCCATTCCCATCGTCATCAGCCAACCAGACCCAGGGTACTTTCCAAAGCATTAGTGCCCATGGAAGAACTTTCAGTTCTGCCAGCCAGCGTTGGGCACACCGAGTGTGTCTGTCCTCACTGCCTTTTCCCAGTCCTGTGATGCAGGCAAGCTCCATCTCCAAACAGGCAGCTTTAGAGTATTTTTTATTGATACTATAGATGCAAGAATATGCATCTCCTGTCCCTCCAGTCCCAGGCCCTGAACCCTGAAGCTCTGGCATCCTAGACTGATCTAAGAACTGAGTTGTTTTAAAACACCCCGGGATGAGATCACACACACACACTGGAGACGGAGCTTCTGAGGAAGCGAAGGACCCAGGAGCTGGGCTTTCTGTACTTCCCTTCCCACCACCGGAGGGAGGAGCTAGGAGGCCGGTGGAAGCCAGAACACAGCTGTCCAGAGAGGGGAGCTGTGGTCAATGGGGAAGTCGGTGGGTTGGTCACAGGGTTTGTAGTGATCGTGGTGGCAGCCTGCCGTGAGGGCTGGAGGCAGGGGGGGGGGGGTGATGGAGAAAACAATGGAGAATCAGAGGAAACCCCCAACACCACCCGACAGGCTGTGCTGAGCCTGGACTCTCCCTACCCCCCCCCCCCACCCCGGGGGCTCAAAGCTGAGTGGACAGAAGTGCATGGTGGGAGGAGAGAGAAGGAAAGAGGGGGAGAGGAGGGAGAGGAAGGAGAGGGAGAGAGGGAGGGAGAGGGAAAGGGGCAATGCAGGGAACAAGGACGTTTCTGTTCCTTTTCCAGGGACCTGGCCAGAGCTGGGTGGAGGGAAAGTGTGTGTGTGGGACTTGGCATGAAATGACCAACGATGATGAGAAGTGACCAGGAAATTCCATTCCCCAGGACCGTGGTCTGCAAACTGCGGCTCCCGAGCCACACACTGCTCTTTGGCCCCTAGAGTGTGGCTCTTTCACAAAATACCACGGCCTGGGCGAGTCTATTTTGAAGAAGTGGCGTTAGAAGAAGTTGAAGTTTTAAAAATTTGGCTCTAAAAAGAAATTTCAATCGTTGTACTGTGGATATTTGGCTCTGCTGACTACTGAGTTTGCTGACCACGGGTCTAGGACACAGGCATAAGGGAAGGGTGATGTCAGAGTGTGGAGAAGACGGGGCAGGGTGAAACTGGGGCTGGGAGGGTGGGGAGAACAGAAAAGTAAGAGTGATTGGCGGCCACTCTCATTCTTTAATTTTTAAAATGTCTAAAGATGAGTTGAGAAAAAATCTAGTCCTGAGCTGGCAAGCTTAGAAGGTACCAAACCCACCGTCCACTGTTTCAGTCCCGCACTGCAGGGGAAACAGGGGGAGGGATCAGGGTGGATCACAGAAGCCCATATCCTGAGTAGTTCTGAGAACCGGGCCTCAGTCCCAAATAGGAAGGGTGGACTGCAGCCGGGAAGACACCAAGGTCACCCCGGGGCTGAGGGGCTCAGCAGCTGCGGAACTGTTGGGGGGCGGGATGGGAGGAAGGTTCCAGGGAGGAAGGATGTTCAGAGGTAGCTCCCCGGTCCTGTTCCAGCCCCAAACCGGTTCTCCCGGTCCCGCTGCCTGCAGCCCCAAGGCCTCCAGCCCGCTGCCTGACAAGCCTTCACAGGCAGCAGCTGGAGAGAGAGCGGGGAGAACGGAGGGCACCGAACCCCGGGCTGCCGCTGGGCCCCCGCGGGCCTCCAGACACGGGAGCCCCTGGGGGCTCTCGGGACGAAGGGGGTACACCCCTCTTTCCAGGCATCCGCCCCAGGGGAGACCCTGCGGGGCTCAGGATGACACCGAAGCAGGCCCTAACGCCCCCTCCCCCCAGGACGCTGTCATTGGTCTCCACCGCCGCCGACCGCCCCGCCAGACCCCGACCTCTCCGCTGCCCCTCCCCACGCGGATCCAGGCCGGGGACCCCCCGCGCACCTTCCGGGCATTGTCCCAGCCTCCCGGGGCCCCCCGGTCTCCGATCAGACCTCCCCGGGCCCAGCCCGGCTCCGCTCGGTCCGCCGAGGCCAGTGCGCCCCGGAGACCTCCCCTCCCGTCTCCCTAACTCCCCGGCCCCCCGGCCCTTCTCCCCCTCCGTGGCCGCACCGGGGCGGGTACTCAGGGGACGCACCCCTTTTCCCACCGACCCAGCCGGCCCGCGGCCCGGACACCCCCACCCCCACCCCCAGCCCAGCCCAGCCCAGCATCCGGCCGGGCGGGCGGGCGGGGCGCCGCCCGGGACCGGCCCCGCGGCCTCACCTGCTCGGCTCCGGCATCGGAGCGCCCGGCGGGAGCTGGCGGGGCTCCGCTCGGCGCCCGGCGGTGCGGGGTCCCGGGCTCGCTGCCGGCGCGGTGGGAGCCGAGGGCGGGCGGGCAGGGGTGGGGCCGGCCCAGGGCGGAAGCGGCGGCGGCGACGCGATTACGAAACCCGCCCGGCTGGGGGCGGGCGCAGGCTCCCTCCCCGGGCGGGGGCGGCGGGGAGGGCCTGGAGGAGGCCGGAGGGGGGGGCCTGCAGGAGGCCTGGGGGGGCCCTGCAGGAGGTCTGGGGGGCCTGCAGGAGGTCTGAGGGGGCCTGGAGGAGGTCTGGGGGGCCTGCAGGAGGTCTGGGGGGTCCTGGAGGAGGTCTGGGGGGCCTGCAGGAGGTCTGGGGGGGCCTGGAGGAGGCCTGGGGGGGCCTGGAGGAGGCCTGGGGGGGCCTGGAGGAGGCCTGGGGGGGGGCCCTGCAGGAGGCCTGGGGGGGCCTGGAGGAGGCCTGGGGGGGCCCTGCAGGAGGCCTGGGGGGGCCTGGAGGAGGCCTGGGGGGGCCCTGCAGGAGGTCTGGGGGGGCCCTGCAGGAGGCCGGGGGGGGCCTGGAGGAGGCCTGGGGGGGCCTGGAGGAGGCCTGGGGGGGCCTGGAGGAGCCTGGAGGAGGCCTGGGGGGGGGCCCTGCAGGAGGCCTGGGGGGGCCTGGAGGAGGCCTGGGGGGGCCCTGCAGGAGGTCTGGGGGGGCCCTGCAGGAGGCCGGGGGGGGCCCTGCAGGAGGCCTGGGGGGGCCCTGCAGGAGGTCTGGGGGGGCCTGGAGGAGGTCTGGGGGGCCTGCAGGAGGTCTGGGGGGCCTGCAGGAGGTCTGGGGGGCCCTGCAGGAGGCCTGGGGGGGGCCTGCAGGAGGCCTGGGGGGGGCCTGCAGGAGGTCTGGGGGGGCCCTGCAGGAGGTCTGGGGGGGCCCTGCAGGAGGTCTGGGGAGGGCCTGCAGGAGGCCTGGGGGGGTCTGGAGGAAGCCTGGGGGACCCTTGCGCACTGCGGAGTAGGGGGGGGGTCTTGCCGGTGCGGACCGGGCACCCGAGCAGGGCCCCCCGGAAACGGACGTTGTCTCTGCGTGCCAGGCATGGCGAGGCCAAAGGAAGCGGAGCCCTAACCCCCCGTGTCCCCCAAGCGCCGGGTTTCCCAGGCGCAGCGCTTCCCCAGCCCCCCATCTGTGTTCCACCCCCGATGAGCGGGGCGCGGTTTAGGGGAGGGGGGGCGAGCCGGGAGGGATGGATGAAGGGTTTTCCTGATTTTCAAAAATTCTTGGGAGCCTGCAACCCTTGAGTTGGGGGATAAAGGGGCACTGCTCCATGGTTGTCGAGTTAAGATGTTTAAGCCATAAACCTAGAAGCAGAACCTCACATTTCCTTTAAAATAATCAGAGGGCAGTGACTGCTAATTCCGTGCACCCCGGTTGGCAGGGGGCGCCGGGAGGGCCGGGCGGTACCCGCGGACCCACAAACCCGAAGCTGCCTCCTGCCCGCCTCCCCCCCCCCCCCCCCCCCCCAAGGCGCTCGGAGCCTGTCGTCGGGATGAGCCGAGTCAGGCGGGAGGGGCGGGAGGCCCTCCGCCTCCGGGGGAGGGGGGGCTGCATTGCGGGGGGAGCGGCCGCCAGACAGTCCCTGAAGCGGGAGCGGGAGCGGGAAGACAAAGCCGGCAGAGCCCCCGCCGCCTTCCTCTGCAGCCAGAGCAGGGACCGAGCCTGGGGTCCTCCCTCCATCTTTGGAACACACTGGTCACCCCCTGATCACAGGTAAACTGACCGGGGGAGGGGGAAGGAGACAGGGGGCTGCAGAGAGGGAAGAGCAGCTGCTGCTGGTTAGGGGGAGGGATGAGGTTGGGGGGACAGTGCAGCAGGAGAGAAGGCGCCGCCAGGAACAACGGTAACTGGTTCACTTGTTCCCCGTTTTACATCTCTCGCTCACATCTCCATCCATATATGCCTTATAATCCTGGACACAGGCATTAATTTTTAACAATTTACCTGCAGTTAGTTCTTGGCATTTATCTCATTTCAAGTACCTATTTGCCTATAATGTATTGTCCTGTGTGTTTTATCTTCAGCCTAGTTATCCCTATCTTCCTTTCAAGCTATAATTTATGTGGTTTTTGCGTGTGTGTGTGTGTGTGTGTGTGTTTTATGAATCTCTAGTCCTACTGTATTGCTCTAGCCTCTATTTCCCTGTTTCCTTTTTCTTTTTTTTCTGTAGTGTTTTATTTTTTATTTATTTATTTTTTTGTAGTGTTTTATTGATGTGTGTCTCCATAGGAGGCAGTTTGGGGGAAGGGATATGAGAGAATATTGAGAATAATCCTTTCATTTCCTTGAATAATCTCCTCCCCATCTCAAACCTTTGCTCCAAAAAAGCAGCAGCTTGAGGGGGACGGTGGGGGGGGGGGGGTCTCTGTGTTGGAGAACTACCTGATCCCCCATATTGAATTCGTACAGCACGCAAAAGCTTGTAGGCATGGGGACAGAATCTGGGACAGGAATGCTTATCTGCAGCTCAGTGGGATAAGTGGGGGAGGACATGGCTCTGAGGAAAAGCCAAGCCCAGAACGAGGCACAGATAGTGAGATGCCGGGGCGCTTCCATTCCCCACCATCCCTGGTCCTTCCAGCCCATGGTGGCAGCATGACACAGCAAAGCCTGATTGGTAGACCTTGGATTCCCATGCGGGGCTGGACAAAGGGTATTCGGGCGGGTCTGTGTGGTTCAGTGAGAGTGTGTCTTTTTATATATATTTGCTAATCAAGCAAATGGGGAGGGGAAGAGCAAGTCAGCCGAAAAGAGACCTCTCGCAAAATTTAGGATAGTACTTAGGAATTAAATTCACATTGTATTAAACTTTAAAATTTCATTATCAACGTAAAGGATATTTTAGCTTCCATTATCTGTGTAGTTAATGCTCTTGACTTGATTTAAAATGCTGTTAATACTTGTAGGAGCATCTTTCTCAAATGTATTTGGTACTCTCTCTTCGTAGAAGTCTCTGAGTCATAGCTGGAGATTTTAGGCCTGGTAAGTCGATATTTCCCTTAGCTTTTTCTAATTGTCAAGAGTAGCCCTGCCAGATACCCAGGGATTAGACAGCTTTGCGGCACATGCCGGCTGTAAAAAAGGGAGTGTTTGTCAGAGCCTTTCCCCTGTCTCAGCTTCTAGCTTGCTCTCCACTGCCTCTTGCATGTCCACCGTTCAGATCGGAACCACAGGAACAATCAGTATATCTGCTGAATATCTGCTCTTCAGGAACTAAGGATTCTTGCAAGTTTTGAGAATATTGGTATAGGATTACATAAAGCTAAAGGCAACTGTCTATGTACAACCCATCAAAAAAGTCCAGACTGGGAATTCTGGGTTCTATCCAAACTGACGGGGAGGCTTCACAAGTCACTAGATCATTTCTAAGTGTTTGTAAAAATCTGTTAATCCCGCCCCCTCTGATGATTCTTTTTTTTTAATTTTTTTTATTATTATCTGTGTACATATTTTACCATTGCCCCCCCATACATACCCACCGTCCCCAGAGTTTTGTGTCCATTAGTTGTACTTATATGCTTTTTTTTTTTTTAAGAGCCTACTATGTTTGCCCAGCATTATACTAGGCTCTCACTGGAGAAGACCGGTAAGGGAGGGGATATAAAAGAAGCCAGCTATGTAGGCAAATAACTGTAATATTAGTAAAATATCCCTGTCGGCAGAAGTAACATGTTGCCCCCTAAGGTTTGCTTCCTAGGATCTCTATAACCTGGTTGATTGGATAATAGGTACAACCGTTTTTGTAACTCTCTGTGCACATGTCTCTGCAAATGGTTGTGGAGATGATCAGAGCTGACTATCTATCATAGGATGGTGACCTCACCTTTCTAGCATGTTCCTGCCCTGGCCCAGTCCCTGCATCGCATTCCTAAGCAGCTTCTCTGCTGGGGGTTTATTTTGGAGCTTGAACCTAAGATGACAAAGAGCAACTCAGCATTTGCTTTTAACAGATACCTCCTATTATTTGTTGGCTCACTTAACCCTCCCTGTGCTTCAGTAAAAATCTTTTTTATTAAAGCCTTATTCATTTTAAACCTTGTTGAGTATGTCATCTCTTTCATTTCATGGCCATGATAGTACTTCTTGGCATTCCAGAAAGAACTTGAGTACATCTAAGTCTTGCCAAAACCGGTTTGGCTCAGTGGATAATCAGCCTGCAGACTGAAAGGTCCCGGGTTCGATTCTGGTCAAGGGCATGCACCTTGGTTGCAGGCACATCCCCAGTATGGGATGTGCAGGAAGTAGCTGATTGATGATTCTCTCTCATCAATGTTTCTAACTCTCTATCCCTCTCCCTTCCTCTCTGTAAAAAATCAACAAAATATATTTTAAAAATAAAATAAAATTCTAAAAAAATAAAAATTAAAAATAAATAAAAATAAAAACATCTGAATCTACCTACTTAAAACTCCCACGCTCACACATAAACGTATTCTAGATTAATGCATTCTTTTTTTTTTGTTTTATGTCTTTTTTAGAGACATTTCACTTTATATGGGTTGATATAGGGTTCTGTAGGGTACTGGTTATCATGTTTTTGTTGTTTAGAATATATATAGTTATTATATGTTAGTCCTCACCCAATTATATTTTATTTTTTAAGGGGATGGGGACAGACACACACATTGATTTGAGACAGACACATAAATTGGTTGCCTCCCACTCACCCTGACCAGGTTCAGGGATTGAACCTGCAACTCAGACATGTGCCCTTGACAGGGAATCGAACCCATGACCCTTTGGTGCCAGGGCCTCAAGATTAACTTGAAACAGTAAATCAAGTCATTCCAAGTTGGGAAGAAGTGAGGAAATAGCAGGACGTGGTAATAGAAGGTTCCCGAAGCTTATCCCAGGGAACTTGGGGCCATTGGGGATGGAAAGATCCTAAGCAGGGAAAGGCCACGAAGGGACCACAAAGGGTTGGTTGCACCCAGAAGACTGACAAGTGGTTTCTTTTCAGGAAGGTATGAGGGACCCCGTGAGCAGCCAGTACAGCTCCTTTCTTTTCTGGAGGATGCCCATTCCCGAACTGGATCTGTCGGAGCTCGAAAGCCTGGGTCTATCAGATACATCCATCTACAAGGTCAAGGACAGCAGCCTTGGCAAAATGACCGGGCAAGCGGCAGGAACAGAGCCGGAGAAACACCCTGAAGGCGATGCCCTCCTTCAGTACAGCACCTTCAACTTCTGGAGGGCCCCCATCGCCAGCATCCACTCCTTCGAACTGGACTCGCTCTGAGCCCAAGCCTTCTCTCCCACCATGCCTGCATGGTCTCCCCCTTCCAGCCCCTTCCTCCCCATCCTTTCCCCTATCAATCTTGCTTTCTTCCCTCTATTGTGTTGAGGTGGTGCTGATGAATTTGCCAGAGTTGTGTCTTATTTATTTATTTATTTATGTATTTATTTATTGTGTCAGTTTCTCTCAAAAGCCCTCAAGTCACAAAGTAAAGGGTTCAGCAATGGAGTAGTTACGTCCTACCTCCCCCTCTTCCATATTAATTCCAGAAAACAGGCCTGGTGGGGGCACCAGAGAGGAGTAGTGTAAAGTGGAAGGGTTGATTTTCTTACGCTTGAGATTGTTCAGATTTTCCTAATTCCTTGCTCCAGGCCAGCAAACACAAATATTTCTTCAAGGGCGGAAGAGTACCTTGTCCATTTTGACATTATCTACTACAAGACAGTAGGATTTCTAAAAGGCTAAGGTGATAAGACGCTTGCTATTTGGCTTCTGCTCCTTTTTGTAATAAGTTCTTCTCAGAGAAATTGGGGATAAAGGTATAAGAGGAATACTATATCTTGGAAAATGAAAATAGGGGGAAGCCCTGAATCGTTTCAGAAATAGCTACACACTCTCTCGAAAGGGAGTTTCTTTTTTCAAGCCCACTTCCTTTACTATTTTGTTCCTAACCGCAGGTTGAAAACTTGAGGAAAGTCACTCAACTTCAAATCTTAAAATGCCATCTTGCTGACCCTTATGATAACTGGTAAGGTTTTGATTCTGTTTCTAAAAGGCATTGGGTCGGTCCTTAATGTAGACTTGCCCTCTGCACTGGCCATGTACACTGATCAATGGGCCTCAGGCACAGTCCTTCAGCTGCCTTAAGGCCACGAAACGAGCAACCCCATGCTAACCCCACAGCCTGTTCCCACTCCTGTCCAAAGTGTTTGCTGCTGGTTTGTGCTGCATTGACTCATTTCTTTAATAAAGACATTCAACCCCAGGATTTACCTTCTAGTTTTCTCTCTCCATAGGAAAAAAGGATTCCAAGGATCCCAAAAGTTAGCCTTGCTTTCACATTCAGCTGGTATATTTTTTTTCTTTCAACTTTTAAGGAAGAATGATGTTTGAGTAGCCTTTGTACATTAAAACGATTAACTTGTGGTTGAAAAGGTAGGGAACAAGGGTGAAATCAGAATTATTTAGGGAGGAAGCTGTGACCCATCCCTCTGCTTGCCCACAGACGACGCCCGCATTGGAGGCAGTAATTCTAGGGGGCCCGGGAGGCACCTGGGGCACTAAGTCTGCTCTTCATCTCAGCCCACGTGCCTGAGACAACAAACAAGTTCACCCAAATGTTACCCGCTTGCTTAAAACGCTCGTTAAAAAAACAACCACCACTTGTACTAATTTACAAGTCGTGTTTGGGTGCCTACTCCAGGAAAGGCGCTGAGCCAGACAATATGATGTCAATGGTAATGAAACAAGATTTTGACTCTCAAACTTTTTTTAAAAAAGTATATTTTATTGATTTTTTTACAGAGAGGAAGGGAGAAGAATAGAGAGCTAGAAACAGTAATGAGAGAAACATCCAATCAGCTGCCTCCTGCACACTCCCTACTGGGGATGTGCCCGCAACCAAGGTACATGCCCTGGGACCTTTCAGTCCGCAGGCCAACGCTCTATCCACTGAACCAAACCGGTTTTGGCTTGACTCTCCAACTTAAGGGCAGCCGTACCTACGGATATGGACCAGCACCTGGGTAACAGGCTGCAAATACTCCCAAAGATGACGTGAACAAGATCTAGGCAAGCTCAGGAAAGGGCGAGTCACGCAGATCGTCCTCGGAGGCTCGGAAAGGCCAACTCTCCCCGTGCAAAGCCACAATCTAATGAGGAATGGGCCAGTGATGTGTCCTTTCCTCGTGGCGCTTCAGGATAGAGGCAGGCAGGACACAAGTGTTTGGTACATGAAACGCCCGGATGGATTTGCAAACTCATGCTCCATCGTTTCCCAGCTCCCCTCTCCCTCCCCCCAAAGAAACGCCTCCGTCATTGGTTTCGCTGTTCGCGTTGACAGCTGGGCTCCAGGGTCCTTCCGTTCCGGCGGCTGGACGTGGAACTGTGTCCGCCAGGCACAAGAGTTCATTTCTCGCGCAAAGCCAGGCACGTCCCCTTCAGCTGGACCCTGGGCCGGGGCGCGGGAACAAGGCTTCCCCACCCTTGGAGCTCGCTTCCCGAGAAGCAACCAAAGAGCCGCAGGACCGGCTCAGAGTCGCTTTCTCTCTAGCGGTTCGCCGGGTTCTTGGCGCCAAAACAAGCCCTGGGCCCGCCCCCTGCCGGGACTAGACGGCACGTAAGGCACGTAATCGACAACCCTCCGCGTCGTTAAGTAGTCCCCCCAGGATTTCCCGGAATCACGCTTTTTTCACCGCCGAGAGCCTCCCGTGGGGAGCAAAGGAGCCTCAGAGGTGCATCCTCCTTCTGTCCGGATGGAAACGCAGGTTCCATAATCGTTTTTTCCCCACAGATCCCTCCGCCAAAAATTGTTTTCCGCCGCCTCCACTTCCGGGTCCGCCATTTTGTCGCCTCCATTTCTCCACGAGGGGGGTTAAAGGCCCCCCCAAATATGCATACATGAAAAGGCCGAAAAGTTGCCGTCACTGACAGGGGGTCCACACTAGAGAAGGAGACGGTACCAAACTGGCGGGTTCGGCGGAAGCGCAATCGGCGGCGGCGTCCCGGACGAGGAGGTGAGGGGGGAGGAGAAGATGCGAGGACTGGGGGGCCGCGGGAGGGCTGACGGGCGAGTGGCGAGAGGAGTTGCACCGCTTCCCGGCACAGCCCCGAACCTGTGGGTGCAGACGGAGCGGGGGAGCGGGGGAGCCTGGGGCCGGGGGCCGGAGAGGAAGGGGATGCTGCCGGGAGGAAGGGGAGGGGACTGGCAGGAGGTGAGGGAGGGGGTGGGTGTAGGACCTGGGGCTGGGGAGCTGGACCAAGGGAAGCCAGGGCCGTGGAGCTGGCCACTAGGGGGCGGCGCGGAGCCGGGGCCGGGCTGCAGACCTCGGCTTCCTGGCTCTTCCCGAAAAGACAGCATTGCTGCTGGCAAACTGGAGGATGTGGGGTGGAGGAGAAAACGGGGACTCTGCATTCCCGGCCCCAGCAATAGCCTAAAGATTGTTAGGGAGCGCGCTAATCTGAACTCGAGTCTAAGGGCCCCGCCTCCAGTTCTTTTTTTCTTTTTTTAAGGGAGAGAGGAAGGAAGGAAGGGAGAGGAACATCAGTTTGTTGTTCCATTTATTGATGCATTCACCGCTTGCTTCTTGCATGTGCCCTGGGGACCAACCTGCAGCCTCGGTGTACGGGGAGGAGCCTCCAGCTCTTGCACAGTCGTTTGTACAGCTGGCGGCTCAGTGGGGACATGGGTGATAGAAAAAGGGGAAAGAGAGAGAGAAAAAAAAAAGGTCAGACCATGGTCTCTTCAATTCCTGTTCTCCTTACGGTTAGCTTTCTCTCTGCTCATAGCTTTCCTTAAGCCAACAAAGATCATCCCCACCCGATTTATATCAACCAACATAATTGCTCTCTAATTACCGTCTAATGATAGAGTACTTCGTTGTCAAGAGCTCAGGCACTTCACCCATTGTTAAAACACCGATTGTGGAAAGCTCTCCTGTGTTTGCTTGGGAGGGGATGTGGGTGTTTTATTCATCTTCAGAGTCCTAAGAGTCGGGTTAGATCAAATTCTGTTTCTTCACTTTATATGTGTAGGGAAAGTGGAGATGACATACAGTAAAGGGAGAATGTTTTCCATTAATTTTTTTTTTATCAGTGATTTTTAGAGAAAGGAGGGGAGAGGGAGAGGGAAACATCGATGAACATTGATGTGAGAGCAAAACGTCAATCAGCTGCCTCCTGCACAACCCCCACAGGGGTGGAGCCCACAATCCAGACATGTGCCCTTGACCAGAATGAACTGGCAACCTCCCAGTACACTGGATGACACCCAGACAACTGAACCACACAGGCCAGGGCTTAGATTAAACCTTTTATCTGGTGGGTACTGCCTGCATTGACATAGACTGGCACTTAGTCCCCCCAAAATACTGTTATTTTAAAAATACATTAAGCCCTAGCTGGTTTGTCTCAGTGGATAGAACGCTGGCTTGCAGACTGAAGGGTTCAGTTAGATTCTGGTCCAGGGCACATGCCCAGGTTTCGGGCTAGATCCCCAGTAGGGGGCATGCAGGAGGCAGCTGATCCATGATTCTTCTCATCATTGATGTTTCTGTCTCTCCCTCTTCCTTCCTCTCTGAAATCAATAAAAATATTTGCGGGGGAGGGGTAAGAAAAAAATTTCATTCTCATCAGAGCAGTGAGGATTTTTTTTCTTTTTTCTTTTTTAGAGAGAGCGGAAAGGATGGGGTAGGAAGGGAGAGAGAGAGGAGAAAGAAATGTCACATGAATTGATTGCCCCACACACGCCCCAACCAGGTGAGGGGATCAGACCTGCAACCCGGGTACATGCCTGTGACTGGAATCCAGTGTTCAGGCGGCTGCTCAAACCATTTTACAACACCAGCCAGGGCAAGGTTTATACTTAATCGTGCAAAGTCCAATGTAGGTGCCACACTTCTGAGTAGCTCTCAGCTCAGGGAACTGGGCTTCTCTCGTCCTGTGGCCCTTCTGTCTCATAGTCCAGTCTTTTTTTTTTCCATATATATATTTTATTCATTTTTCAGAGAGGAAGAGAGAGGGATAGAGAGTTAGAAACATCGATGAGAGAGAATCATCAATCAGCTGCCTCTTGTGCACCCCCTGCTGGGGATGTGCCCGCAGCCAAGGTACATGCCCTTGACTGGAATCGAACCCGGGACCTTTCAGTCCGCAGACCGACGCTCTATCCACTGAGCCAAACTAGTCCCGGCTCATAATCCAGTCTTGATGTGGCTTCTATAAATCCTTGGTTATAAGACTTCCGTTCAGCTAGTCTTCAGTTGGTTATTCAGGTTGATGGTTCTATAATTTTGTTGTAATTACAATTTGGGCCTGGGAGGAAGTGAATGTAATTTCCACCTTCTCAGCCATCTTTTCCCCTCTCTTCCTACCTCTGTATGATTTTATAACATGCATTGGACATTTGAAAAATATTGGTTCACCAAATTTTGCAGATTATCCAAGTGTTGATGCATTTTATTACACAGTATTGAAAAGTTCACATTTATTAGTGTCACCATGAATTTCATCAAAAAGTTTGTAGTAAACTTCTATTTATGGTGGAGGGATGTTTCCCCAAATTCTAATTTTTGCTTGAAAGCTGACATTATAATTGATAATTGGCAATAAATACTGTTGTTTGTTTGTTTTGAAGTGGGCAGTTCACTGTTCAGTTTTGAAAAAATATCTGCCATATACCCCGCTTTGTCTATTTGTCATTCTTTCCTGTGACATATTTCTACCCATGGTCATTTCAGAAAGATGAAATGCTGTTTTATTGATCCCTTCAGCTAGAAAGGTGGTAATGTGATGTGTTGCACTTATTATTATTATCATTATTATTCTGGAGATTGAAAGTGAGGGAAATGTTGTTTGGGGCCTGACATTTTCCCCAATATCTGATTGTTTGTGTGGGATGATGAGGAAATGCCCTACCAGAGAGTCACCTTGAAGTCTGTATTATTTAGAAGAAGTCTGCTAAAAACATTTACAGACAGCTCTCCTTGTGTTTGACTTACAGCTTCCCGAGAACTTCCGTTCCTATGCATGAAGATGTCTTTGGTGGACTTGGGGAAGAGATTGCTAGAAGCAGCAAGAAAAGGCCAAGATGATGAAGTGAGGACATTGATGGCAAATGGTGCCCCATTCACCACAGACTGGGTGAGTTCTCTGTTTCCAAAGTGTGCTTTACCAATCTTTTCCCTTTTCTTTTTTTAATTTTTTATTTGTTGATTTGATAGAGGGTTGGGGAAACATCTATTTGTTGTTCTACTTATTTACACATTCATTGGTTGATTCTTGTATGTGCACTGATAGGGGATAGAACCGGAAACCTTGGCATATCAGAACCATGCTGTAATCAACTGAGCTACCGGACCAGGGCATCAATCTTTTTCTTTTAAAATATATTTTATTGGTTTTTTACAGAGAAGAAGGGAGAGGGATAGAGTTAGAAACATCGATGAGAGAGAAACATCGATCAGCTGCCTCCTGCACACCCCCTACTGGGGATGTGCCTGCAACCAAGGTACATGCCCTTGACCAGAAATGAACCTGGGACTCTTCAGTCCACAGGCCAGGGTTCCATCCACTGAGCCAAACCAGTCAGGGCACTGATCTTTTTCTTTTTAAAAAAAATATATTTTATTGATTTTTTACAGAAAGGAAGGGAGTGGGATACAAACTCAGATACATCGATGAGAGAGAAACATTGATCAGCCGCCTCCTGCACACCTTCTACTGGAGATGTGCCCGCAACCAAGGTACATGCCCTTGACTGGAATTGAACCCGGGACCCTTGAGTCCGCAGGCCGACGCTCTATCCACTGATCCAAACCGGCCTCGGCTGATCTTTTTCTTTTCTTTTTTTTTTTTCTTTCTTTTTTTTTTTTTAATATATATTTTATTGATTTTGTACAGAGAGGAAGGGAGAGAGATAGAGAGCTAGAAACATCAATGAGAGAGAGTCATCGATCAGCCGCCTCTTGCACACCGCCTACTGGGGATATGCCTGCAACCAAGGTACATGCCCTTAACCAGAATCGAACCCGGGACTGTTCAGTCCCCAAGCCGACACTCTACCCATTGAGCCAAACCGGTTTTGGCTGATCTTTTTCTTAATGGCTAAAAAGACTTTAATGATTTTTCTTTAGTTACTTTCTGCCTCATTCTCACATAGTTTTATTTTCTTTCTCTCACCTAAATATATGGTTTTCATTTTCTTTTAGTTTTCCAAATTGAAAGTGTCTCTCATGGATATATATTATAGATGGTAATTGTAAATGTATATACAATACTTACGGTTTTCTATAATGCTTTTCAGAGAACTAATTCTGTTTATTAGAAATTAGTAATTAGCTAGAAATTAAACAAATCAGTATAAGAAAAGTACACTTCTAAGCTAATAATTTATTTTCTTTTCTCTACAATGTCCTGATTAATAAGAAATAGTTTCGCTCAATTGGTGTGGCTCAGTGGTTGAGCGTTAACCTATGAACCAGGAGGTCACAGTTTGATTCCTTTTCAGGGCACATGCCTTGGTTGCAGGCTCCATCCTCAGCGGGGAGGTATGCAAGAGACTGCTGACCAATGATTCTCTCTCATCATTGATGTTTTCATATTTCTCTCGCTCTCCCTTTCTCTCTGAAATCAATTTTTTTTTTTTTTTTTAAGAGGAAGATGTAATTTTATGATCCTAGATAGCCAGCTTGGAGAGCAGAATTTTATTTTATTTTTTTTATTTTAAAATATATTTTATTGAGTTTTTACAGAGAGGAAGGGAGAGGGATAGAAAGTTAGAAATATCGATGTGAGAGGAACATCGACCAGCTGCCTCCTGCACACCCCCTACTGGGGATGTGCCCGCAACCAATGTACGTGCCCGCAACCAATTTACATGCCCTTGACCGGAATCGAACCAAACCGGTTTCGGCTGGAGAGCAGAATTTTAGAAGATCCAGGTCTAGATTATAATATGGGCTTCCTTAGCATTCATAGGTTTTTCTTTTTTAAAATATATTTTGTTGGTTTTTATAGAGAGAAAGAGAGAGGGCTAGAGAGTTAGAAACGTCGATCAGCTGCCTCCTGCATAACCTCTACTAGGGATGTGCCTGCAACCAAGGAACATGCCCTTGACCGGAATCGAACCTGGGACCCCTCAGTCGGTAGGCTGACACTATCCACTGAGCCAAACCAGTCAGGGCAGCATCCATAGATTTTGTAAACATCGCCTAATTTTAACAGTTCACTCTTTTCTGGAGTGGTTAATTTATAACTTCAGAGGCCAGCAGGTTCTTTTTTTTCTTAATCTTCACCCTAATATCTGTTCCTTTATTGATGAGAGAGAGAGAGAGAGAAACATTGATTGGTCGCCTTCCCCGGGTGCCCTGCGCCCACGACCCTGCAGTACACAGGAAGATGCTCTAACCACCTGAGCCACACTGTCCAGGACTGAGGACAGCAGGTTCTTAGCACTTCACTGGAAGGAAGAAAGGAAGCACAGGAGATTAGCATTTTTATAAATAGGCCTGAAAAGAGCAATGTGAATTAAATCCAGTCAGACAGAGAGGCTGAATATATGAAAAGCAAAGTTTCAATGAAGTAGGCTTAAAAATAAACCAGCATAAAGCAAAGACAAGAATAGGTTTCTGACCAAAGTGGATTCTGATAACTTATAAGATTTACTTTGAGATGATATAGACTTCCTTATTGCTAAACATTTTTAAAATATATTTTTATTGACTTCAGAGAGGTAGGGAGAGAGAGAAACATCAGTGATGAGTCCTAGCTGGTTTGGCACAATGGATAGAGAATAGGCCTTCGGCTGAAGGGTCCTGAGTTTGATTACAGTCAAAGGCACATGCCCAGGTTTTGGGCTCCATCCCCAGTAGGGGGTGTGTAAGTAGCAGCCAGTAAGTGATTCCGTCTCATCATTGATGTTTCTAGCTCTTACTCCCTTTCCCTCCCTCTCTGAAATCAATACAAAAATGTTTGTTTTTAAAAAAAAAAGAAACATCAGTGATGAGTGAGAATTATCAATTTGCTGCCTCTTGCATGCCCAACACTGGGAATTGAGCTCAAAACCCAGGAATGTGCCCTGACCAGGAATCAAACCGTGACCACCTCGTTACTATATAGATCGATGCTCAACTGCTGAGCCACGCTAGCTGGGCTTAGTTGCTAAATTTTTATTTCCTTTTAATCTCATCAGTCTTTTTGCCTTGCTTTACTGGGGTTAAGGAATTAAGTTAGTACCCCAAGACCTACATGCAACTTTCTAGTCTCTGCCCTTTGCCTAGAAATTGTTCTGAAACTTTACCCCCACTCAGAATTCTCTTGTCTGTCCATTTATTTTATCTTCCAAGCCCTGTATAAAATCATGCCCTTTAGGGAATCTTACATGATAAATCCATCTGACTTAAATCCATTCTATTTAGCACTTATTTAATTGATGGTATATTTATTCCTCTATTAGTATATTAATTTTTTTAATTCATTTCTTCAGTCCTGCCTGCCCAACCAGATACTCTCTATCCATGGGCAGGAACCATAAAACTCACCTCTTGTTCATCTGTATCTCTCCAGTAATGGTTTAGGAGTCTGCACGTGGTTGGTACTCAATGAGTATTATTTCCCCACAGCTTGGAACATCACCCCTCCACCTTGCAGCCCAGTATGGTCATTATTCCACAGCAGAAGTACTCCTTCGAGCAGGCGTTAGCAGGGATGCCCGAACCAAAGTGGACAGGACCCCCTTGCACATGGCTGCAGCCGATGGACACGCACACATCGTGGAACTGCTTGTTAGGGTAAAGCAAGAATAGTGGCGGGTCCGTGTGGTAAAAAGGACACCCACCTTCCTTTCCTAAAGTAGCGGCAGGAAACTAGGTTGGGAAAGATCAAGCTGAGGACAGTTTATGGCAATGAATTGTCTCTTTCAAGAGTAATCATGACTATGAGAATTTTGTATTCTAATCTTTTGAAAGCTAAACAGACTTCCTTGGTGTTTTCTTCATTCTCTTTCTGCAGGTGTTCTCTGCACTTATGCCTGTTGTTTTTTGTGTGTTTTTTTCAGACACTCGGCTCTGTTAATAAATGCAACAAAAATCTGTTCTTTTCCTCTTCCTTTCCTTTCTACTATAATTTCTCAATGATGTCCTTAGAAGACCCACTCATGGAAGGCATTATGTCTGTCAGCGTCAGGATAATTTAAGAAATGTTTTTCCCTTTGATATTTCTTAAAGGTGACCTAAATTTGAATCTCTGTAAACTATGGAAAGTCTCTGTATTGATGAGATCTTGCACCTGTGCTGTTGTAACCAGTGTCCATATGAAAACATTCCTTTTCTGTGGCAGAATGGTGCAGATGTGAATGCCAAGGATATGCTGAAGATGACAGCTTTACATTGGGCCACAGAATACCACCATCGCGATGTTGTCGAGCTACTTATCAAATATGGAGCTGATGTCCATGCTTTCAGCAAGTTTGATAAATCTGCCTTTGACATAGCCCTGGAGAAGAACAATGCTGAGATTCTGGTCATTCTTCAGGTCTGTATTTTTATTTATTTATTTGTTTGTTTGTTTGTTTGTTTATATTTTATTGATTTTTTTACAGAGAGGAAGAGAGAGGGACAGAGAGCCAGAAACATCGATAAGAGAGAAACATTGACCAGCCGCCTCCTGCACACCCCCTACCAGGGATGTGCCCACAACCAACGTATTGAGGTACATGCCCTTGACCCGAATTGAACCCGGGACCTTTTAGTCTGCAGAACGACGCTCTACCACTAAGCCAAACCGGTTTTGGCGATATCAGGCTTTTTTTTTTAAGGGAGGGAGAGATAGAGAAACATCGATCAGTTGCCTTTCATATGCACTCTGACCGGGAGCCAAATCGCAACCTATATATGTGCCCTGACCAGGAATTGAACTCACTACCTTCTGGTGCACAAGATCATGCTCCAGCCAACTCTGCTACACCAGCATCTTAAAAATAATAATAATAATAATAATAATTATCTGGAGTATGGTGAGATTGGCGAGAGAAAGTTTAATGCTAAAGAACCATATAGTGACTTTCATTTGGCCAGGCATGAGCCAAGAGGGCTGAGTTAAGGAATAATAGTGGAGGATGGAAGGAGAGGCATATTCAAGAAGGGATTTAACAGTGACCAGAGAATTACACCTGATCTTAGCCAAAAGGCCAAGACGCGATGTGACCAGAGAATTGATCATCTGTTTTAAGCTGAAGCTCTTAGTCAAGGGGATAATTATATATGAAAAAATAGATAAATATTTCTGCTGTATTTTCAGTGGCTTGTTTGTTTGTTTGTTGTTGTTTTTTTAATATATTTTATTGATTCTTTACAGAGAGGAAGGGAGAGAGAGAGTTGGAAACATCGATGAGAGTCATCAATCAGCTGCCTCTTGCACACCCCCTCTGGGGATGTGCCCACAACCAAGGTACATGCCCTTGACCGAATCGAACCCGGGACCCTTCAGTCCCCAAGCCGACGCTCTATCCATTGAGTCAAACCGGTCTCGGCTGTTTGTTGTTTTTTACAAATGGTTCCCTATAGACTGGTTATCCTCTTCAACTTTCAATTCCTTGTTTAGAGACCTTTCATAATTGGGACTTTTTAAGTAGTGAACATGTTTGTTTGTAAAACAAACAAACAAACAAACAAAACTACTTCTGAAAGTAAAAAAAAGGATAAAATAAAGTTAAGTTTCTTTTCACTGAAATTGTGCTGACATTCCTGGAAACAAAAGTGCAGCATATGAAACTAGACTCTAAAATCTGGCACTCATTTATTTGCTTGTTACATATTCTCTGAGGAATTCTCCAGGGCAGAACGGAACAAGTTGTTGGACAAAACTCTGGAGAATATTCTTCTCCATAGATTCTCTGTGGGGATTTCCTGCTAGCACATTGGCTTGTAGATAACTGATCATAGAATATTAGTGCTGGAAATTACTTTTTAGGCCACACCCCTTATTTTTCAAATAAAAATGTAAGATCCAGAGAGGTTAAGTGAATTGTGTAGAATACACCTTGTTTTCTAAAGGAGATATAAGCTTGAGAAAGCAACCTAGCATTTCTGTTTTCCTTGTCAGAAAACAAGAAATAAACAGTGGTCTTAATGAGAACTCTGAGCTCCCTAGGACATTGTGTGCTAGAACTAGTTCTGCTTGATAGAGCACTGGGGGTGAGGATTGGTCTTCAGTGACTGTGTAACTAAGGTTAATCAGTGTTCTGACTTTAAAATACCCCTTGTTTTGTAGGAAGCCATGCAGAATCAGGTGAATGCTAATCCGGAAAGAGCCAATCCTGTGACTGTGGCCACCCCATTTATCTTCACGTCAGGAGAAGTTGTCAACCTCGCTAGCCTTGTTTCTTCATCCAACACCAAAACAACCTCAGGTAATACTCTGATAACATGGCGTTTATTTTAGACTTAAAATGAACATAACCCCAGGTTTTCCTGTGAGATGAATAGAAACCCTCTCTGATACCCACACCTTTATTAAAATCTTCCCAAAATAAAGGATTTGTAATCGATTTTAAAGCTAATGTATTTATTCTTTCTGGAGAAAGGGAAGGTCATACATAGGGGTTGTATCTGAGTGCTTATTGTGTTAAAAGTAAAATATTCTACACATTAATCTGTTGAAGGGTTATACCCAAACCCAAAAAATGAAAATATAGGGGTGCTTCAATATAGCACTACTAAGGAAGATAGTTAAATATTCATAATCCAAAACATGAACAAATAAAGCAGAAGAAACAGAAGTGGTTTTTGGAATGCTGATATAAAATAGGTACATGTGATTATTTAAATAAAATATAAGAGTCTTGATTTGTTCTTGAGAACATATATAACAACAAAATAACAAAACATTTGGTGTTGATCTTTTGAAACCTGTATATTTTTAACAAAAACATCTATATAAATCACAAGAAAACTGGCCTTGTTTTCAATATCTCTTCACAAATATTTGACAACAGAGGCACTTGTATCCTCATTTAAATAAGCTTTCTAGCTGACTCTTGTCTTTTTTTTGTTTCTGACTTTCATTTAAAAATAAGCAACTATACAGCCGAAGCCGGTTTGGCTCAGTGGTAGAGCGTCGGTCTGTGCACTGAAGGGTCCCAGGTTCGATTCCGGTCAATGGCATGTACCTGGGTTGCGGGCACATCCCCAGTAGCGGGTGTGCAAGAGGCAGCTGGTCGATGTTTCTCTCTCATCGACATTTCTAGCTCTCTATCTCTCTCCCTTCCTCTCTAAAAAAATCAATAAAATATATTAAAAAAATAATAATAATAAAAATAAAATAAAAATAAGCAACTATACAAATGTATTCCTACTTAAGTTTAATATCAAAGGAAGATGTTGAAGTGTTATTACTGAGAGGCAGTGATGGTAAAGTAGAGCATAGATACAATAAATATAGAATTGTGCATTCAGATCTACATTCAGATATTGAATTATTAACTAGAGGCTTCAATGTAGGAAAACTACTTCTCTAAGTCTTCTTTACATATAAAATTGAGATATAATAATATCCACTTTATGAGATTGTGAGACTTTGATATTTTGTATTTCAGGATCCATTTTAATTTTTTTTAATTTTATTTTTTAAAATATATTTTTATTAATTTCAGAGAGGAAGAAAGAGGGAATGAGAGGAGCATCAATGATGAGAGAGAATTATTGATTGGCTGCCTCCTGCACGCTCCCCACTGGGGATCAAGCCTGCAACCCGGGCGGGCATGTGCCCTTGACTGGAATCGAACCTGGGACCCTTCAGTCCACAGGTCGATACTCTATCCACTGACCCAAACCAGCTAAGGCTATTATATATATGTAATTAATTTATTAATTTGGGAGAGGGAGAAATATCAATGATGAGAGAGAATCATTGATTGGCTGCCTTCTCTACGCCCTACACTGGGAATGGAGTCCAAAACCAGGGCACATGGCTTGGCGGAGAATTGAACCATGATCTCCTATTTCATAGGTCATCTGGCCGGCCAGGATCCCTTTTATAGCAGGGCCTCAGTAATGCTAGCGGTCAGTGAAAATAACTTCTCAGTAAAGATGGACTCCATCCTGCCCACAAGGGGGCAGTGGTGACCTTCATTTTATAGCTCATCAATTTATTTAATACCACTTTGCTTTCAGCTAAATGATTAAAAATATTTAGCTTAAATATACATATACATGTAATCAGCCGAAACCGGTTTGGCTCAGCGGTAGAGCGTCAGTCTGCGGACTGAAAGGTCCCGGGTTCGATTCCGGTCAAGGGCATATACATTGGTTGCGGGCACATCCCCGGTAGGGGTGTGCAAGAGGCAGCTGGTCGATGTTTCTCTCTCGACGTTTCTAGTTCTCTATCTCTCTCCCTTCCTCTCTGTAAAAAATCAATAAAATATATTAAAAAAAAAATATATATATATATATATATAGATAGATAGATAGATAGATATACATGTAATCAGAACATTCACAGCCTTTTGAATTTGTAGTGGTTAAGGTCACACTGATTAGGACAAGAGCTTTTATAATTCAAAAGTCTTTAGAAGCCAATAATGTTGTATATTCACAAACATGTGAAAAGAGCTAGAGTTGATCTTTAGTCTAACTACTGAACTTCTCCAGACCTTGATTTGAAATGATAAGCAAATCAGGATAGAGAATCTTAGATTTGACTCCTATAGGTTTATATCAGGTTTAACATTGACAAAAGAGTTGCTTTTGACAAACTACTCTTCTTTCTCTCTTCCATATGTTGACAACTGCAAATCAAAATTGTTAAACTATTGCATAATAAAGCTGATCTCTCTGATGTCATCTTAACCATGAAGCAGTTCTACCTAGCTCTCCCCTTTAGGGGACTGGCCTACTTGATGCTTAATCAGTACAGATAAAAGAAATTATTAGACATGTTCAGGTTGAGTTATTCAACTGGGTTAAAGGATTTTCTTTACCTGAATGGTGGGTGGACTTCTTATTTCCCATCAACAAGTAACATGTTCATCCAATAGTATTTTTAAGAATTAACTGGTAGTATTCTAGGAATATCATATTGATACATGTTTTTTATACCAAAATCCAGATGATAGCCCAACTGGAGACTACTGTTTGATTCCCAGTTAGGGCACAATGCCGGGGTTAGGGGGGGTGCAGGAGGCAGCCAATCAATGATTCTCTCTCATCATTGATGTTTCTATTGCTCTCTCCCTCTTCCTTCCTCTCTGAACTCCATAAAAATATATTTTTTAAAAATCCAGATTACCAAATTTGCTTTAATTTTTCATTTGTGACTAAAGTTATGAGTCATCATGAGTGCTACCAACAAACTGCAGTGATTTAGGAGGGCAGACTAATTTAAACATTAATCAGGACAAAACAGAGTTATGAAGATGAATTTCCTGTTTCTGTAGAATCATAAGATGTACTCCAAAGCCAAATATAAATACTTTAAATTGGTTCATAAAGAGTACAGGTTCGGAATCTAATGAATTAGATTTTAATCAGGGCTCTGATATTCACTAGCTGCCTGACCTTGGGCAAATTACTTAGTTTTTCTGGATTTAGTTTTCATTAGCTTACTGAGATTGGCCAACCATACCATGGCTCACTCTTCTAAATCCTGGTCTGAAGAGTTTATTTATATGGCACATTTTGAATAGGTAACAAGAATTGGCACTGATAATACCATTTCTCTTCCAAAAACAATAGTATCTGTACACGTTTTACTTTATTTGATGTTGTGTCTTATATTGAGGAAAAGGAAACAATTAACATTATTAAGCAGTAAACTATTTTCCTAGAACTCCCTGAGATAAGTCTAAAGAAGTCATTTGCATTATCTTTTTTTCAGTTTCAACTGTGTATGTCAGAACATTAAATCTAATTTTTTACAAATATTCATTTTTATTGGATTAAAGGTAGACTACCACCCTGACCTGGTGGCTCAGTTAGTTGCAGCGTCGTCCCATACACCAAAAGATTATAGGTTTGATTCCCGTCAGGGTACATACCTAGGTTTCGGTTCTATCACCAGTGCAGGAGGCAACCTATTGATGTTTCTCACATCCATGTTTCTCTCTTTCTCTAAAGATCAATAAAAAACATATCCTTGGGTGAGGATTTTTTTTCTTAAGGAGAGGGTACCCTTAGGTTGGAATAATTGTATATAATGCTTTTCTCATTAAACAGTTCTATACAGCTATTCTGTAGTTGGGTGGCGTGTGTGTGTGTGTACATCTACATGTGTGTGTGTTTTAATTGTGGCCTTGTTTTTTGATTGCTAGTGACTTACTATCACATATAATCAAACTTCCATGAATGTACATATATTTAAAAATCACTTGTACCTTTTTTTTTTCATTTATATATATGAAATTTATATTTTTCATTTTAAATGTATTTACATACACATATATTTATTTTATTTTATTTTATATTTTATTGATTTTTTACAGAGAGGAAGGGAGAGGGATAGTCAGAAACATTGATGAGAGAGAATCATCGACCAGCTGCCTCTTGCACACCCCCTACTGGGGATGTGCCTGCAGCCAACGTACATGCCCTTGACTGGAATCGAACCTTTCAGTTCGCAGACCAACGCTCTACCACTGAGCCAAACCAGTTTCAGCTACACATATATATTTTTTAATTGCTTTCAGAGAAGGGGGAGGGAGAGAGAGTAAGAGAAATATCAACGGTGAGAGAGAACCACTGATTGGCTGCCTCCTGCACACCCCCTACTCGGGTTCGAGTGCAATCTGGGCATGTGCCCTTGACCAGAATCAAACCTTGGACCCTTCAGTCCGCAGGCCGACACTCTATTCACTGACCCAAATTGGCTAAGGCTCATTTGATAGTTTTTGTTTTGATTATTTGTGTACATATATCAGAGAGGGAGGGAGAGAGAGAAACATTAATGATGAGATAGAATCATCATCGGCTGTCTCCTGCACACCCCCCTCTGGGTTCATCGGTTGACATTCAATCACCAACCCAGACCATTTGTTAGTTCTTATGCCAGCATTTGTTATGATAGGCTGAGTGATGAGAAAAGCATGAACTAAGCAGAAAAGGCTGGATCTTGCTCTGCAAGAAATAATTAAATAGACATAAGCCCCTTTTTGGAGGTCAAGCACTGTGTTTTGCCCAGGCCATTTGGTTCCCTGAGTATTTTAGAGATATCATCCCTGTCTCTACCTTTAGCTCCACTCCCACAGTCATCGTCCAAAAGCTTTCCGATAGTTTGCAGCTATGAGGAGTATTATATAAGTAATCTACCTTTTAAAGGAAATTCTTCTAAAATTTATAAATAAGTTAGGTTACCTATAGTAATCACATCAGAAGAAGATTCTTTACTGTATAGGAGGATTTATTATAAAGAGTGTTATATAAGAGTTTCAAGTATTTTTTTTAATATATTTTATTGATATTTTACAGAGAGGAGGAAGGGAGAGAGAGAGCTAGAAATGTCGATGAGAGAGAAACATTGACCAGCTGCCTCTTGCACACCCCCTATTGGGGATGTGCCCGCAACCAATGTACATGCCCCTGAACGGAATTGAACCTGGGACCTTTCAGTCCGCAGACCTACGCTCTACCACTGAGCCAAACCGATTTCGGCGTAGTTTCAAGTATTTTTAAATGTTTTACAAATAACTGTTTGTTTGTTTTTAATGCTTCTTTTTTGTTTGTTTTTGTTAATCCTTACCCAAGGATATTTTCCCAGTGATTTTTAGAGAGAGTGGAAGGGAGGGGGAGAGGCACAGAGAAATATCCATGTGAGAGACACATTGATTAGTTGCCTCCCACACAGGGTGGGGGATTCAGCCTGCAACTGAGGTCCGTGCCTTTGACTGGAATGGAACCTGGAGCCCTTCGGTCTGTAGGACAATGTTCTATCCACTGAGCCAAACCGGTAGGGCTTCAATGCCTTTTTTAAAAAATATGTTTTTGTTTATTTTTAGAAAGAGAGGAAGGGAGAAGGAGAGAGAGAAACATCAGTGAGAGAAAAACATCATCACTTGGCTGCCTCCTGCACAACCTCTACTGGGGATGAAGCCCGCAACCCGGGCATGAGCCCTGACCTGGAATCGAACTGTGATCTCCTGGTTCATGGGTCAGCGCTGAACCACTGAGTTACCCAAACCAAGCGAAAAGCTGAGGTTTTGATTAATAAGGCATCTCAATTCATCTTAGTTCATCTCAGTTTTATTCTCTTTGCTGGACCTCATTTGCCTTTTTTACTGAAATAGGTGACCCCCATGCCTCCTCAGCAGTACACTTCTCACATTCCACCACCTCAGTGTTGGCCACCCTCGCAGCTCTTGCTGAGGCCTCAGCTCCCCTCTCCAACTCCCACAGAGCCGCAGGTAGGTAAGGGACAGCTGCTGGTTGAATCACCATTTTTCCTTTTGTTTTGAACTCTCCAGCAAATTTATTTTGCATGAAATAATAAAGAATCATGATTAGAGACAACTAAGAAAAAGGATGTAGAGTCACGGAGCATCAGAAAGAAAAATCACTAAGTGCTATAATCAGACAGCTGGATATTATCAGAGAATGACTAAGTTATTCCTTTGATTTTTTTTTTCTTTTGCAGTTTGAAGTTTGTTTTCTCTGACTCCAGTTGCTTCAGATTGAACTATTTAGTTTTATATTAGCAGATTTTCTGGAAATACTCTATCATAGTATTTCCTGTGCTATCATAGAATGATTCAAAATAGCAGCAGCCTAGGTACCTTGTATTATATTAAAGCATCAATATGCATGGGACTGCCTCTCTCACTGTCATCTCCTCCGCATTTCAGATTGGCTTGGGTTTTCTTCCCCCAGAGATGTTATTTTGGTATTTGCAATTGGGCAAATACATGCTATATAGTGCCCTTCTGCTATAATATTTACTACAACAAAAGGATTTCAAGTCAGTCAGTCAGAGATAGTGGTCTATTGGGAAAAGGCTGAGGGCTTCAGGGAGGTAGAGGCAGATAGTTGTAGGTATGGTGAAATAATTATTTGGGAGTCTTTCTGGAACCTTCTACAGAGCGCTCCATCCAAAATGAAAGCAGTTCTGATTTCTTTCTGCCGTTGACATTTGGGTAGTGAGAACATTCTTCCAATCCTGTTTTTCCAAGTGGCAGCAATCAAAAAGATCTCTACTGAGATGTGTATGGGTGAGCACCATAGCAGAAGGAGACCAATACATTAAATTTGTGCTTGTTTTCTTTGATCTTGAATAAATCCCCTTTTCAAGTCTCTGTTTCCTTGTTTCTAGCATGACGGTTAAATTAGATTATCTATCAAGTCCTTTCATCTATTAACATTTAACTGTTCTTGTTTCTAAGGGGTCTGAATGCTTTATTTCCATTGAATTATATGAATATGCTCCTGTGGATAGTCCATACCCCATTTATTGCAAAGTTCTACTTGTGATTCTTTAGATAGAGGAATTCCATTGTGGCAGGAACTGTTTCCCCTAATAGTTATTGGGAACATTGACTAAGCAACTGAAAATCTTGACTCAATGTAATACATTTAAACTTCTTAGGAAGGTTCTGGTACATAGAAAGGAATCAGTGTTAGTTGCTATCAATATTATTGATCTGTCAGATAGAAGAAGCCACCTCTCATTTTTGTGAGACGTCTTTTTTTTTTTTAATATGTTTTATTGATTTTTTACAGAGAGGAAGAGTGAGGGATAGAGAGTTAGAAACATCGATGAGAGAGAATCATCGATCAGCTACCTCTTGCACACTCCCTACTGGGGATGTGCCTGCAATCAAGGTACATACTCTTGACTGGAATCAAACCTGGGACCTTTCAGTCCGCAGGCCGACGCTCTATCCACTGAGCCAAACTGGTTTCGGCTCATTTTTGTGAGACTTCTTAAATGCTCTGACTACTTAACATATTGTTAATTCACTATTAAATGTCTCTATTTCCTTCTAGAAATAGATTTACTCTAATTTATAGTTATTTTTCTAAGCTTCATAGAGTTAGACTTTCAAGATGCTTCTTGGGAAAAAAAAAAAAAAAAGAAAAGAGTTTTAAGATCAAATATGTTAGGGAAACTTAACATATCTTATCCCATATTGGAGAATCCCAGTGCTCATTAGCTTGTTGGGGTTTCTGATACTTCCCACAAAACAAAAAAAAGCCGAAACCGGTTTGGCTCAGTGGATAGAGCATCGGCCTGCAGACTGAAGGTCCTGGGTTCGATTCCAGTCGGGGGCATGTACCTTGGTTGTGGGCACATCCCCATTAGGGGATGTGCAGGAGGCAGCTGATAGATGATTCTCTCTCATCAATGTTTCTGACTCTCTATCCCTCTCTCTTCCTCTCTGTAAAAAATCAATAAAAGAAAAAAGTCTAAACATATTTAAACCAGAATTTTGTATTTCTTTTCTCCTCTGACTTAGCATTGTCAGAACTTGCTTTTGTGTACTGCTAAGTCTAATTTTTTTTTCTAATTTTCCTATACTTAATATTATCAATTTCAAGGAGGCAGAAATTGCTATATGTAGATTTTTTAAAGAGCTAAAATTGTAAATTTACTTTTGTCATCTTTAGCTAATTCAGAGGAAATCATAGAAGGAAATTCTGTTGACTCATCAATCCAGCAAGTGGTGGGGAGTGGAGGCCAGAGGGTGATCACCATAGTGACCGACGGAGTGCCTCTGGGTAACATCCAAACTGCAATCCCTACGGGAGGCATTGGCCAGCCGTTTATTGTAACTGTACAAGATGGACAGCAAGGTGAGTTATTCCACTAGACAGTTGTTTATGAAAAGATATTTTATCCCCTGTCAGATTGGCTCAGTGGATAGAGTGTCGGCCTGTGGTTTGATTCCAATCTAGGGCACATACCTTGGTTGCAGGCTCCTCTCTGGCCTGGACCCTGGTCAGAATTCATGCAGGAAGCAACCAATCGATGTGTTTTTCTCACATTGACATTTCTCTCTGTCTTTCCCTCTCTCTTCCACTCTCTAAAAATCAATAGAAAAAATATCCTCAGGGGAGGATTTTAAAAAAAAAAGAAAAAAAAGAATGATATTTTAGACACTCAATTCGCCTCTAAAAATGAGGTAATAAGACAAGTAGTAGGAATGGGAGAATGCCAGATGCCAGTGGGGCAAAAAAGAACAGAAACCGGGCTGGCAAAGGCTAATTTTTCTAATATATAATAAAATTTGTAAGTAAAAACCGTAATCCGGTAGAAAGAGCAGATAATATGAACCAGTAGGTCAAAGAAAATACTGCTGGTTCACAGAAAATACTGCTGGTTCTTATTGCCAGTCAAGGGCATGTACCTCAGTTCAGGCTCCATCTCCAGCCCCAGTTGGAGCATGTACAGGAGGCAACGAATCAATATGTCTCTCTCATATTAATATCTGTGTGTGTGTGTGTGTGTGTGTGTGTCCCTCTCCCTTCCACTCTCTCTAAAAATCAATGGAAAAAATATCCTCAGGTGAGAATTAACAACAACAACAAAAAAAATTCTGTAAAGACATTAGGCCTTCTTTAGAAAAGTTATCCCTACAGAATTATAAGCTAATTGGTCATAGTTTCGGACATCTTTGTATAAGAGTCTCAGACCTGGGTCTTAACTGCATGGCTTCCACACCTGTCCATCTCTGCCTTTCCTTTCAGAGACCTTCTTAGTGCCTCTCTAATCCTCTCTGTTTCTCTCTGCAGGGCCATGATTTACCTGCTGATTCTAAAAGCCAAAGGCATATCAGAAAATAAGATATCAGAGAATATATTTCAGTTTATTTTCTAATTTGAAACAAGCAAAACGGCTTTGTTTTACAATGTATTCATCACCTTCACTCGGTGTCCTTTGGCTTGTAGTTCTAACTGTGCCTGCTGGTCAGGTTGCAGAGGAGACTATCATTGAAGAAGAGGAGGAGGAGGAGGAGGAAGAAGTAGAGAAGCTGCCATTGACTAAGAAGCCAAGGGTAGAAGAGATGACAAACAGTGTGGAGGAAAACAAGGTAATGTTTTCAGCAGTGTGGGGAGAAGAGAAGGGTAAGAATCAAAAGCCAAAACTTGTAAGGCCTGAACCCTCTTATTGTTGTGTGCTCTCTGGACACTGTGATCAGGAATTCTGAGCTGGTGGTGATGTGGTTTACTTTCCCAGGAAGGCACTGAAAGAGAGCTACTGCAGCAGCAGCTCCAGGAGGCCAACCGAAGAGCCCAGGAATACCGACACCAGCTCCTCCAGAAAGAGCAGGAGGCAGAACAGTACCGCCTCAAGCTGGAGGCCATGGCCCGACAGCAGCCCAATGGCGTTGATTTCACCGTGGTTGAAGAGGTGGCTGAGGTAGATGCTGTAGTAGTCACAGAGGGCGAGATGGAAGAGAAAGAGATGGAAGTGACTGGGGCAGGAGGGACCACAGAGCCTCATCGTGGAGTTTCCATAGAAACTGTTTCATCTTAACGTACAAGGGCCACAATTTGTACTATGTCCGTTTTTTCCCTCTTTTTTTTTTTTTTTTTTTTTTTTAAAGAAAACACAGAGGACAAACCTTGTTTAAAAATTAAGAATTTTCTTCAGAAGAAAACTATAGCAGGGTATAATGCTTGGGCTCAGGAAGGCTCTCTATGCAACTGGAAAAATCAAAGCCAAATTTAGGGAACACTTCTTTTGAGAGGCCAAAAAAGTAAGGACCAAATTTCCCATCTTACATCATTGCTTTAAGCAAAGAGGTAAAAGAATGCTGCATGTTGTAAGTTGGTTGGTTGTTGAAATAACTGACTTTTTATCAAAAGATTTTACTAGTACTTTCTATCAAAAGATTTTTCTAAGATAACATTCCTAATATGAACCCACCCAGATCCTTTAATACTTGCACCATGAAGTGACTTGAAAATTTGCCTTAGATTTATGATGTCTGAATGTTACAGAAGAAAATTAATTTGGAGGGAGGTTAGAAGCAAGCTTTGGGGAAGAGAAAGGAATATATTCCACTTCCAAAGAAGCAAGCAATCCCACTATTCAGTTACTCTCACTGAAAAGAATTTGTGATTGCCTGACTAAATTCATTGTGTGTCCATAGCTCAGCTGCCAGTTTAAAAAACTGAAATATAATTTTTTAAAACTGGAAGGAAAAGTGAAGAAGTGTATATAAATCCAAAACCCTCCAGGCTGTGCTTCACAATGCTGGAAAATGGCCAGAAAGAGGCTCGTTGGGGTTGTGAGGCAATCTGGTGTTGAGATAAAAACTTTGCTCCGGCTGGATTTTACAAAATTGCAATCAGGATAATAGTCCGTTGTTAGAACAACTTGCTTCCAAACGTTTATTTATGTCATATCAAGCTTTAATAGCAATTCTTTAGTTTTATAAAGTTTTGTTGAGTTTTCTAACTGTGCCTTTCTGTAGCGCTTACATGGTATCCTCTTACATGCAATAAAAGAAGTGGGGAGAGAGACGAGTGTTGAGGATGTCGTGTTGTGTTGTTGCCATTTGATTTGGGATGAGTAGATTGCCCTGCTTCCTTAAGGTAGGGCCTTCAGGAGAGCTTTTGTGCCTTGTAGATGCTCGGTGTGAGCTGGCAAAGGGAGTAAAGACAATCGGTGCCTAGAGTCCGGAACCAGAGATGCTGGTTAGATACCTCATCTGCCTTACTCCCTTCTCCCCCGCTGTGCCTGTCCCTTCGCCTAGACACTTTTGAAAAGTGTTTCATTGCTTGGATTCTTTGTGTGCCAGCTTGGAGATTTTTCAAAAGAAAGGTAAATGGAGAGAGAAAGGGGGTGGAGAGATTACAGTACAGAGAAACTTTGCCCCCATCGTTCTTGACTTGCTTGCTTGCTTTGTTGTAAATGACAAGAAGAAACCAGAGGGAGATGTGCCAAGTAAACATTTGAATGACTGTTCAGAAAATGGTTTTCTCAATTAGTGATCATACGGAAAACATACATTTTTAATTTGGAATAAAACTTGACAGTTAATAGGGTTCTCTTGATTGGTGAAGCAATTTGCCACAGTTTTCCAGAGGTGAAAAATCATTTTGGGCTCAAAATAAACTGAAAACGTAACTCCCCAAACCAGATTTCACAAACAGAATTGGCTATTAGAGGCTTCTAGGCAAAAATGTCAGTTTTGAAATTAGTCTTGATGACTCGCCACCTTCACTTGGTTTTCCCAATGGACTCGAGTCCCAAGCCTTTCCCAGGTGGCCAGAGGCTCCTCTGGGCGGTTGGGGATGATGGAGAAATGCAGCGGAGGAGGCTAGATAAGGGTGAGGGTGAAATTATGGTATCTGCTGTCAAAATGTCCCATCTCTATTTCTGATGTGTGTGTTTTTCTGTCCTTTTGTGAACCAGGTGCTAACGATAAGCTGCTATTGTGTGCCATTTCAGAGCCTTAACTGTAGATGCATCAGATGTCATGTTAGATGTGTTTTGTTTATGTTCTTAGTGTATATGTTGACTTTAATTTCTTTCTTTTTTTTCCTGCCCTGTTATGGGGTGGAGGTGAACACTGCAGAAGATATCCAGGTCCAGCCACCTCATTCTCTAGGTAGCTTCTGATTGGCAGTGGAGAGCTTCCATCCAACACTCCCTTTTGAGCATACGGAATCCCTACTGTTTTGGGGAACTGCTTACCTGTTCTTACCTTTCTGTAGGAGGCTGTCATTCCTACACACAAACTATAGAGCACAGCCCATGCCATTTTTTATGATGGGGTCTCTGAGATTGGGTTGTGATAGGGAGAGAGAAGGGAAATATCTGGAAAGGGGTGGGTAGCAAAAAAGTATTTGTTTTTATTTACTTAGAATAGAGCTTTTAACACCCCAGAGAAGGGAAATAAGATTTGGTCTCCAGTTGTATTGCTGTAGAGAGAATAGTAAGTCAGGATCCCTTGAAGTAGTTAGAAGTTAAACACTAAATGCATTAATGGCAATAACCATTTTATGAATTTGCATTTCTTTTGGGATCAGCCATGGAAATTGGGAAAATGTTGCTAGATTTTCTGGGTTAGGGGATTTCAACTGGCCTTTGGCATGGATGGATTACAGAGAATCAAGTAACAGTCAAGTAGTTCAGAGTTGGTACTTGAATAGAAAGAACCTGGAGCCTAGGATGATTGCCTACTTTCAAATAAAGCTGCTTTAATGATATCAGTATTAATATAGGACTTGTACACTCTACCTTTGCATTTTGATTCTAAGCCTTCCCCGCAAGTAGAGAAAAAAATAAATCATTTCTGTTCTTGTTCCTAACTTGAGGAAAATTTCTGTTAGTGTGTAAGTGTACATTCTCTTCCTATCACTACCTCTGTGGGATCTCTTCATTGTAATGCCAGAGTTGAGGTCTTTTAACTGAAACATTGGAAAACTTGGCCTTAAGTTTTCTATGTTTTTATTCAGTGCCTTAAAGGATGGTCCTTTTCTCAGTCCGATCTGTGTTCAGTTATTTTTGGCTTTGCCTTTCCCCTTTCTTCAGCCTTACCCTTGCATCGTTAAAATTTGTGTATCTGTTCAATAATGTTAGAAATATATGGTATACAAAATTACTTTCTTTCTTTATATTGATATAAAAGAAAGAACTCACCAGGGGCTTTCCAGTTGAAATTAGGTATCGTATGACCAGGGGTGTGTGTGTGTGTGTGTGTGTGTGTGTGTGTGTATTATATATATATTTAATTGATTTTTAGAGAGAGAGAGAAACATGGCTTGGTCTCCTCCTGCCAGGGCTTTTTTTCCTATCCTCACCTAGAATATGTTTAGAGAGAAGAATGGGAGGGAGAGAGAAGAGAGAGATTGGTTACTTTCTCTGTGCTTCCCAATCAGGAATGAAACCCACAACCCAGGTATGTGCCTTGACCCAGAACCAAACCAGCACCTTTTGGTGCACAGGATAACGCTCAACCAGCTGAGCCACACCAGCGGGGCATGACCAGGGCATTTTTAATGCCCCTTTGCTGGGTGTATATTAGTGTGCATGTTTGTTTATAAATGTGTATGTGTTTTCTCACTTTTCTCTTTATTTGAGGTTCAGCTCTTAAATACCTGGTATAACCTGGATATATTTTATTTCATTAAAAGCATGAGAGAGGGTTTCTTTTGTAACCACTAAGGAGCTTGAGGAAGAAAAAACATTGCTTTGGCTCTTCTCTGAGAGTTGTGCTCTAACAGGTAGTAATGAGAAGCCTAAGGAGGGAGGCCCCAGGAGAGCCAGTCCCCGGCTTTACAGAGATGTGGTTAGCATGTAGTGTGATGACACCGGGGAAGCCAATGGATTCAGAGCCGAGCTGCCCTTCCACAAAACAAGCCTCCTTCCCCCTCCTGTGGCAGCTGTTCTGACCGGCACTGGCACAATCTTACACCTCCCTGCTCCTTGTGCAGACATCTCTGTGTGGCCAGAAAAGGAGCTTAAGAATGGAGTACATGTCAAGACCACCCCCATGCTGTTCTAGGCTCCTACCTATAATATCTCCATTTTATGTGATGAATATTTTCCCCTTGAGAGTTACAGTACTCGTCTTTCCTGTGCCAATGTGTTGAGCAAGAAGAATACGAATATGAATCAAGTAGCTTTGAGCCTCTGGTGCTGCCTTTTGTTTTATTTTTTGAGCTTCTCGAGGATTAGAAGCTGGGTGACATTCCTAGTCTCTGTAGCAGCCATTTGGTTTGTTAATGGCCGGAAATTGTGACTTCCCTATCTCTCTGTCTCCTCCCCTTTCCCTGTCTTACTTCTGTTTCTCTGACCCCATTGTTCTTATCTTAATGAGTCTTTCCCAGGAACTAGAATTTAATAAGTCGTTTCTAATCTGTGGGCCTTGTCTTTCCTCTTTCCACTCCCCTCTATCCCTACTTCTGTTTATTCTGAGTGGTTTGTTTCTGAGAATTTAAGTCAGACTCTCTAATAATGTGCTTCCTAGTTGGGCTCCAGCATCTCGTTCTGCCAGTAATGATAGCAGCTCTCTCCTCTGGCTTTGCCCTGTATGTTGACCTGTCAAGGCCATTTGTGTTGGGGCAGAGGATGGGGGTGTGGGAGTGTAGGTATTGGGAGGGTGAGGAGAGGAAGACTGGGTAGGGTGCCTAGATACTTCTTAACTGTTCTCCATTCTTCAGGTTGTCTGACAGCTTTATGTACAGGATGTTTTAGGAAAAATTATACTTCCCGTTTTTATTTAGAATTTTAATAAAATAGGGTTTGATTCTGATGAGCAGGGTTGTGTATATGTATGTAGGGGTGAGTGAGCATTTGTGTGTATATACACCTATACAGATCTATATTATATATACAACTTTTGTACTGTCATTTAAAATAAAGATGTTTCTTAATAAAATATCAAAGTCTTAACCATTTCAGGGTGTCATTGAAATTTTTTACAGCTCCCCCCCTGATCACAGATAAACCTCAGAACAGTCATGTGCCACATAACAATGGGGATATATTCCGAAAAATACGTCTTTTAAAAAAATTTACATCCTTAGGCAATTTTGTTGTTGTGTGAACATCATAAAGTGTACTTAAT